TGTGCCGTCGCTTGTTGAGCAATGGATCGGCGAAATGTATCCATTTGTACACGATGAACAGAGAGGGAACTTGTCGGTGAGTTTAAAAAGGGAAATGTAGACTGAATCTAAATCTAAATCTAAATCCAAATCTAGATCTAAATCTAGACTTAAATCTAAACCTAAATCTAAATCTAGATCTAGTATCCTCTATGAAACGTTCTTTGTGCTCAAAAATAGAAAAGCAGCCCTTCTAGTGTGCTCAAATTACCTCAAATTGCTCATATTTGCACTCAGCTTTTGCCAAAAGAGAATCGAGAAATTGAGTGCACTAGAAAGGATGTTATTACACTTTTTGAACACAAAGAACCTCAGAAAGAAGAAGCTTTCAGTGAAATTCTTCAAGAACTAGGACTGTGGCAGAAGAAACCGATGCGAGCACTTCCATGGGAACCACACGGAGGAAATCATCCGATTAGGTGAAAATGATAGAGAAATTTTGATTTACTTTTAAATCTAAAACTAAATAACTACCGTAAATAGTGTAATAGTCGCCCACCGCCCTCGTACAGTCGCGTAGTCGCAAAAGTTTTTTAGTATTTCATTTCATTGCTTTTTTTTCAAAGCACCCGTACTTTCAAAAAATGCGTCTTTGGTATCAAAAAATAGCTGAAATTTAGGGCTATTTTTTGATACCTAAGCGCGCATTGTAGCATAAATCAGTGTCAAGAAAAACTCGTTCAAAGCTAGACTACACAAAACTCCGCACCGTCATTATGGGGGTCGGGTACTATTACAGTATTTACGGTAGGAAGTATAGGAAAAGCCACAAATTAGTCAAAGAGCTTAAATTACTTAATAAACTACCGTAAATACTGTAATAGTGCCCCACTGCCCTCGTACAGTCGCGTAGTCGCAAAAGTTTTTTAGTATTTCATTTCATTGCTTTTTTTTCAAAGCACCCGTACTTTCAAAAAATGCGTCTTTGGTATCAAAAAATAGCCCTGAATTTCAGCTATTTTTTGATACCTAAGCGCGCATTGTAGCATAAACCAGTGTCGAGAAAAACTCGTTCAAAGCTAGACTACACAACACTCCGCACCGTCATTATGGGGGTCGGGTACTATTACAGTATTTACGGTAAATATTTTTTTGACTAATTCAACCTCTTTTCAGATGCAAAGAAGATGTTCGCCCGATTTTCTGGAGTGCTCGCCCCAAATCGTACATCTATCGAACAAGGGTGAGCTTATAAGAACATTACAGTACATTACACTACTCTTAGCATTGTACTTTATGCTCAGAAATAGAAACATAGCCTTTCTGATGCACTAAGCCGTCATTCTTGTCAAGTTCAGTGCGCTAGAAAGAGTGTTTTTCGATGATTGTGCTCAAAATATTTGCATTGAATACAGATCTTTTCTCTAGGATTGGGACGATTTCCCGAATGGTCGTTGGGGTAACAGTTCATCGCCGGCTTTCAATGACCTCAAGGATTACTATCTTTTCCATTTATTGGGTTAGTTTTAAAAGCAAATATCTCTGGAGATATTTGAAAACAAAAGATTTTAGGGGTTTTTTTTGAAAACTTATCTAATTCTATCAAATTATTCGATAATTTATCTGATTTATTTAATTGGATCGTAAAGGAATTCTATCGTTATTCTATAGTAATTCTATCATAATTTTATCGTTATTCTATCATAATTCTATCATAATTCTATTATAATTCTATTATAATTCTATTATAATTCTATTATAATTCTATTATAATTCTATCATAATTCTATAATCCAATATCTTCTTTAAACTTTTTAGGAACTACGAATAAAGACGAGCAATTGAAAAAGTTCGGCTATGAGATCGCGGATATCGAAGATGTGAAGAAAGTTTTTCTGAATTTCCTTACACAGGAACCGAATGAGAATGGAGTCGTGGTGAGTTGAGGAATTGAAATTCAAATAGAATAATTCAAATAATAGAATAGAACTTACTTTTTCCAATAAGTTTTTAAGCATAAATCTCATCCCAGGTGACGTCTCTTCCATGGAGTGAACAAGAGAGCGGTGTTGCGCCCGAGACAAAACTCATTCAGGTAAATCTTAACAAACAAAACAAACAAACAAACAAACAAACAAACAAACAAACAAACAAATAAAAAACAATTTCTCAGGCTTATAGCTTAAAGTGTAACTAAAATAATAAAGAAAATAGAGCCCAGCATACTTACAGGATCAACTAACATGGTGCAATGAGAACGGCATCTTTACCATCAACTCTCAGCCATCAGTGAACGGAGCGCCGTCAAGTGATCCACTCGTTGGATGGGGGAAACACGGAGGATATTGTTATCAAAAGGTTTCAACACAAATAGATTGAACGATTTTTCGTTATATTTTTATTGACCCTATAGATTAAACCGATTTTTCAGGCCTATTTGGAATGTTTCATTTCGGAAGAGCATTCAGCCGCATTGCAAACGATTCTCGAAGAGTACGCGCCGAGAATCAACTATCATATCATCAATCATAATGTGAGTGAAAGTTAGGAGACTTAAAAACATGATGATTATCCTTAAAAATAGATTACCGTATTTTCTCTAATAGTAGTGCACCCGGGCGAGCCGAGTTGGTGACTATTTTACGGTTTCCAAGCTTTTGCAGAAGCTCAACACTCAAATCCCCCACTAGATCTCATCGTCAGCTACATTTTCCGACCCCACATCGATAGGTTCTAATAAGCGGTTCTCGAGATTTCGAGCAATTTAGGCGACGCTCATGGTGCACTACTATTAGAGAAAATACGGTATTTGAGAGAATACGCTATTTGAGAGAATACGGCAGCCGGTATTACGGTACTTGTCGTCGGATGCCGTACTTGCGTCTAGACGTTGGGCACTGTACGTAAAACTTTCTTTAGTTTTGTACTGAGTCTTGTAGCATACCGGATTCTCTTTAATAGTATTTTCCCGCCTAGCCGAGTTGATGGCTATTTGACGGCTCCTAAGTTTTCACAGAAGCTCAACACTCAAATGCCCCACTAGATCTCATCGTCAGCTACATTTTCCGATCCCACATCGATAGGTTCTGATAAGCGGTTCTCGAGATTTCGAGCAATTTAGGCGACGCTCATGGTGCACTACTATTAAAGAAAATACGGTATCTAAGTACATGAGCTTGTTAAACAACTTGTAAGCCGTGTTGTAGTCCAGTCAGAGTAGACATGAGAGAATTCAAAGTCGGATCTAATTCCACCTTTTCTTGGTCGATTCTTGGCCGATTTTTTCTACAAATAGAAGTATAGAAAGGTTGTAGATTGTAGCTTATAGCATGTAGCTTGTAGACAAAATTTCAGAGCAATCGGCCAAGAAATGGCTGAGAAAACGAAGATGGAATTAGGTTTGGGTTGGAATTTTCCTATGTCTAGACCAGAGCTAGATCTAAGTCTGCAATAAAGCCAAGCCACGCCCGACTAGACAGACACGACTTGACTGCTGGCCTGGCCTGGCCTGATCTGTCCCAGAAAATCAGCCTTTACCTTGACCACCGCACTTCAGAGAGCCTAGTTTGGCCAGAATTGAGTCAAAAGTTTTGATTTTTCTGGAACCAAATCTTAAGTATATCTCCTGAAACGCTGCTTATTATCTAATGAATTCAAGCTTTCAACTTTTTCATATGACTTTCCAAAGTTGAGCGCTGAGTTTCGCTCGGCATCCTACTCATTTATGAGATTTTTAAGAGTAATCTTGTCAAAATCTCTTTGAGATTCAATTTATTATGTAAAATGAACGAAATTCCATATGCTTTAGTAGTTTCAGTGCAAAAATTTCTTGAGAAGTCCCACCAAAACTCACTTAATATAGTCTGTTTTGGGGTATTCAGAGGAGTCAAGAATAAGAAAATCTTATTTTTTTAAAAAGGTTTATCGCTTTTAAATTTTATCATTAAATATGATTAATTGTGGGCCATTCTGTAAAGTCTTTACCCGATCCATTTCAGGCAAGCGTCGACGTGGCGAACACCGAGAAAACGACGCCGATCGCCGTGACATGGGGCGTGTTTCCAGGATGTGAAATCGCTCAACCAACCGTCGTCGATCCGATCTCGTTCCGAGTTTGGAAAGATGAAGCATACGAAATGTGGACAAATCAGTGGTAAGGGTTATTTAAATGAAGAAGAAGAAAAAACACTAAATTACTATATGTAAAATGAACAAAATTCCATATGCTCTCCAGTAGTTTAAGTGCAAAAATTTCTTGTGGCGAAATGCCACCAAAACTCGCTTAATATAGTCGATTTAAAAATCCGATTAAAGGAAATTTCACTTTTAAAGCAAACAACAAGCAAGCAAACAATCAACATCAACAATCAACATCAAAAAATTAATCTATAAAGCTTAAAAGCTTCAAAAATCAGCCGATCAGCCTTAAAATCAAAATCAAACCATTTAGGGCATCACTTTACGCAAAGGAATCGAATTCTCGTCAAGTTCTCGAACACATTCATGACACATATCATTTGGTGAACCTTGTCGACAATGATTTCCAGGTAAGAAAAACGGATTTTAAAGTTTAAAGCTGATTTTTGGATCTTTTATTAGAAGATATCACAGATATTAGGTAGTAGGCACCTACTAGGTAATAGAAAACAGTACTAATTAAACAATATAGCCTACCAGGTAGTAGAAAACAGTACTAATTAAACATTATAGCCTACTACCTAGTAGAAAACCGTACTAATTAAACAATATAGCCCACTACCTAGCAGCCTATCAGTATTATTGAGTTTTCTATTGTTTGTATTTCAATTTTTCAGAAACCTTGCATCATTTTCGAGATTCTCTCTCGTATGGTCAATCTAGCAAAGGAGATTTCCCATCAAAATGAGCAACAAATTTGGGCCACCAATTAAATATTTCTGAGTGATATTTTGTTTAGAAAATTCTCCTTTGAAACGTGATAAATTTATAAGATTTACATTCAATACACGTATAAAAAAACAAATGATCTCAACTTTTGTTCAGCAGCATTTCGACGAGTTCTCTTTCGTTTCATTGAGAGTGACGGAGCTGAACTTGTCAATAATGAATATTGCCAAGAAATTTGAGATTCTAGAGTTTTCTTGGCTATACTTTCTTTATTTAAATAGCACTGTAACTAGCTAGTTCTTCAATTCACTGCTAGGTTAAAAGTAAGTTAAATTTTGCTGCACAGCCTTAAGCTCCAGTTTTAAATTGAAAAATAAATATGGACTTTTTGTAGAAAACGAAAAGTTTTATATCTTTTATTGTTTTGCTCTTGTTTCACAAGCAGCTCTTGTTTTCTAAAGCATAGATACAATGCTATTTCGAGTTTCAGAAAACAAGAGCCGTTTGCTGACTAGTTTTCTACAAAAAGCCGATGTATATTGGAAGACTATTCTGGCTGGAAACTGCTCTACTGATTTGCAGTTTGTCAGAAATCGTTGACTGACGTTTTTTCAAAGTTTTAAACTGTCTTACTTAATTTCTTCCGATCTTTTTCGTCTTCCCATCGGATAAGAGGCGACGATTTGTGTGGCTAACTCGAAAAAAGCCTCCTCAATTCCCGTATTCGAGGCGGCTGATGTCTCGTGATAGGACTGAAAGGCTTCTTAACAATGAAATATTGTTGAAATAATATTGTTAAAAATCTATGTTAAAACTATGAGACTAGTTCTTTCAAATGTCCACTACCAAACTGACAACAACAACAACAACTGACGACTGAACGACTGAACGAAAATTCGGATATCAAGAGATTGCAAAACCCTTAAAGTTCTTCAATGTGAGTCTTGTCGCCTAAATGCTTTCTATATACCGTAAATACTGTAATAGTAGCCCACCCTCATAATGACGGTGCGGAGTGTTGCGTAGTCTAGCTTTGAACTAGTTTTTCTCGACACGGGTTTATGCTACAATGCGCGCTTAGGTATCAAAAAATAGCCCTGAATTTCAGGGCTATTTTTTGATACCAAAGACGCATTTTTTGAAAGTACGGGCGTTTTGAAAAAAATGAAATACTAAAAAACTTTTGCGACTACGCGACTGTACGAGGGCGGTGGGCGACTATTACAGTATTTTGGGTAGGCATAGAGTTACAGAGTTCGTCAATATTGCATGCTACTTATCTCTTTGAACTCACCGCTCCAATCTTTGCCGCATATCCAATCGCTTTCCTCTGATCAACTGTTCTTTTCATTTCCAAATCGGTTTTATTGCCGATTAGCACCAATTTCATTGCGTCATTCGTTTCCGCGTTTCGGAGAACTAAAAAAAATAGAATTGCTGAGGGTTTTTAGCTTTATTTATATAAATATTATACTTCTATAATCTATGTTTTGTTTTTCTTGGATTTTTAATTTACATTCTTTTAACTTACAATGAACCCATGTATTTAATTGATCGAAGCTTCTTATGTCCGTTATATCGTACACTAAAATCGCGACATCCGTTTTTCGTAGATAAATTGGTACCTGAAATCTTTTTTCTAAGGAAATACTCAAATGCAATACTCGAATACTCGTGCCATACTCAAATGCAAACTGATATAGCTAGTGTAAAATGACCGCCGATAAAGGCACAAGAATTTTTGTAGTTGAAATCTTGATATTAAATGATCTACATAGTGTACAGGTTGATTGTCAAAGCCTATTGCCTTTTGTAGTTGAAATCTTGATATTACAGTATCTACATAGTGTGTACAGGCTAAGATAAAACAAAACAAAGAAATATTATTCGTAATTTGTAACTGACCATTGATCTAAATCTTTCTTGCCCGGCCGTGTCCCAGATCTGCAGCTCGATATTTGTCGCGGCGATCGGGCTGAAATGTTATTTGGTGAATAAATTGAGTGAATCTACAGCTATTAGCTGTAGTACACCTGAAACTTTATCTTGTAAATCAAAGTTTTTCAACAAACATTGTCGATACGAGATAACTAGCGCCAAGTGTCGCTCGAATACTTGTGTCGAATCCCTTTCCATCGTATCGAAGCACGATCGACGTTTTGCCCACACCTGTTCACAATATACAATATTATAGTAATTACATAAGATAATAGGCCTAGACAATTAGCCTATGCAATCTGTAGATAATGTAATACCAAGATTTCAATTACAAAAAGGCAATAGGCTTAGACAATTAACCTGTACACTTTGTAGATAATGTAATACCAAGATTTCAACTACGAAAATTCTTGTGCCTTTATCGGCGGTCATTTTACATTAGCTATATCAGTTTTCATTTGAGTATAGCACAAGTATTCGAGTATTGCATTTGAGTATTATCCAATAAAGTCACGAGTACTCTTATTTATTTCCCAAAACTCTTAGACTCCGTAAAGAAATTTGAATTCCGCCATTATCTAATAGTATAAGCGACATTATCTAATAGTCTTGTAGCGACATTTTCTGAACGAACCCGATTCTCCAAGAAAGACGACTTTCTTCTTGATTCTTGATGGAGGAGCCATTTGAATAAACAATAAAAATCAATCTAATAAAAAATCAAAATCGATCTTCGAAAAGCCAAGCGGTTCATTTATCTGAAAAAGTGCGATTTGTACAATAAATTGTGTCAGAGAAGGGGTAAAATCGATGTCATTCTAAGAAAAGGGGAACTGTTCCCCTTTTCTTAGAATTTAGAGAGTTGAGTAAAAAGGGGAAAGAAGTGAAAAAGAAGAACATGAAAAGAGAGCCGCCTATTCATTTGATACTTTGTGGCGTTCAGTCACCCGCCATAAAAATTCTTGCTTAAGAAAACACCTCAAATGCATCTCTCTTATCACCCAATTCTAGCAATAGTTTTAAAGTCGTTTTAAAGATTGCTAGAATTGCTAGAATCGTTTTAAAGATTGCTAGAATTGTTAGAATCGTTTTAAAGGCTGCTAGAATTGCTAGAATCGTTTTAAAGTCGTTTTAAAGATTGCTAGAATTGGGTGATAAGAGAGATGCATTTGAGGTGTTTTCTTAGGCAAGAATTTTTATGGCAGGTGGCTGAACACCACAAAGTATCAAACGAATAGGCGGCTCTCTTGCTTTAAAACGTTTTAAAGTCGATTGACTCGCTAAAATACTGTAATCATTCGAATAAAAGGCTTGTAGACGAAATTTTTCATTTTCGAATTTATCAACTCTTCGATAAAAAAAATTGTGAACTTTTTAAAGACTTTAAATAATAGTTAAATAGTCTAAAGTGTTTTCAATAATAGATTCAAGTTAGAAAAGATCAATGCTGTTTAAAAAAATGATTGTGAATCAAAAAAATGAATCAATCAATCAAAAATGCTTATTTTTAAAGTTCTGGAGGAAGGTTGAAGAATCTATTTTTCAAAAATACATCTTTCTATCCATTTTTCTTGTGATACGCTACTCACAAACAACTATGAAAAAAGAAAAACATGTTGTTTGTCGTAAATCAAAATTTGAATTCCAAGCACTTGTCCTCATAACAAAAAGCCGCCCCCGATATGCAGACAATAACAGACAGACATGTGTTCGCGCGTCAAGAAAAATAATGATAAATAAAGATAAAAGAGCAAAACAATGGTCACAGTCAATGGGGAAATGGTGACACATCATGATGCCATCATATACAAATTGACCATTTCCCTTTTACCTTTTTGATTGGGGCAACAAGAAAATCGATTGACCACTACCGCCCATAGAGCATTCAGCCATCCATTAATCCATTGACCTTTTCTTGAATTGAATCCTGAACTTGTTAGTAATGCAATAAACCCTCAACTTCTACTAACTCGAAGCGAATGAATGATTTATTCTAGTGATGATTGTTTGTGTTTCTACGGCTGTTCGGGTCCGAGTCATTCCTCGGTACTTCCCTTCTCTTCTTTACTTTTCTTCTTGTCTCCTTCCAGAGTGCGTGCGGTTTCTCGACACCTTAAACAATAGATAAAAAGATAGAATATAGATAGATAAAAATATAGAATATAGATAAAACATAGATAGTCCTGGCGTAGTTAAAACGTCGATAAAACATCGAATACTCACCAGTCCTGGCGGCTTATTGATCTTGATTTGCTTCTGGTATTGGCTTTTGTTTGAGATGCCGGCTACTTTCTTCTCGTTGGATGACTTTGGCGCCTGGTTGGAACGCTTATCCTAAAAATTAAGCAAAAGTAGTAACATTTAAGTACAAAAAGATTTATTTACTGTCAAATGGTACAATATTTTCGTAGAAACTTCTCACCAAAGCTGCTGCCTCAGCCGCACGTTTTTGCGCTCATTCTCTTGTGCTCCCAGGGCGGCACGGTTCTAAAAGATGAGAATGATAAAAATAACAGGTCTAACTGGATCTGTGTGTCATAGATGTCCGCTGCTGATCATGTAAATTTAAAAACAAATGTAAATTTGAACCACAGTCTCGGAGGAAACTCATTTCCGCAGATTTGATCCTTTGTTTATAAGATCTTCGTTCCAAATATAGTTTTTTTGTGCGATTTGTCCGTATTCTTGTTCTTTGTAAAAATCTTTCACAATATCGACTTTTATCACGGAAATTATGCTCAAATGCCACATTTGAAAATTACATACAGACTCGAGACACAGGGTAAATCAAAAGTTGTATGGTCACTGACAGGAATGAAACAAAGCTATAAAAGAATCACAGTCTTCGAGAGGGAACCGCGTGACTAAAAAGCGAATTGACGATAAAAAGAAATTTGAGATTTTCTTTAGAGAGAAAAAAATTGCAAAAGGCAGAATTATTATAGCACGGTGCGATTACAAAAGCCTAAGTCAAGAAAATAAGTTAAAGGTCGTAAATTTGAAACAGTATTAATCAATCCTCATTTTCTGAAAGAACGCTAGAAGGTACTGTAGAAAAAAAAAATATCACCGCCATTGGCAAGCTGGCTCTTTGAATATTACGACGAGTGCACATTATTTTTTATTTTGAAGAGCATTTGACAGCCATTCCATCGCCTCATCAAGACCATCTCCTTTGGTTGCTGACGTTTTGAAGATCTAAAAAATGGTCAGTAAAATTACCCACAAGATCCGACGGGATTTTATGCATAGTGCTATAAAAAATTAGAATTACTTGGAAAGTTCTGTCTCGGAGTGCTTCTAAGCCCAATGCTTTGTGAACTTCGGCTGGAGTCAGACAACCAGGAACATCTCTATAACCAAAGACAAAGTTAAACCAAAAATCATTAACATTACTGTTTGTTTGCGAGTACGGCAAGAATGGCACCCTGTAATTCGTCTTCTTGAAGCATTGAGACAAGTTCCTGTCGAGAAATCCCAACCTAAACACAAGGAAATAAAGAAAAATAAAAAGCATAATCCAAACCCTATCTCGATCTGCAGAGTCCACAACATAAATTATAGCATCAGTGTTAGCATAGTAACATCTCCAATATGGGCGAATTGATGTTTGACCGCCAAGATCCCAAACCTATAATGTAACTCATAATATTTCTGCCTCAAATAGAAACAAACCTGGAATTTCAGATTCTTATACTCAACTTGCTCGACGTTAAATCCAATCGTAGGAATCGTTGTTACGACTTCGCCAACCTAAAGACGCAAAAATAAAGATATTTTCAAAAACTAAAACCTGCAAACGATAAAGAATGGTAGTCTTTCCAGCGCCATCCAATCCCAAGATCAGTATCCGCATTTCACGCTGTCCAAACAATCCACGAAAATAGGATAGCACTCCACCCATTTCTGAAATGTTCGGTCCATTTTAATAAAACCATAAAACTGAAACAGAGACTACAAAAAATCAAAGTATTAGTAAGTTTTTAACACCCAGAGAATAGAAAATTTTTAAAAATAAAAATTTATTGAAAACATAACAACAAACTGTGGTAACAAGTAACAACAATAAACATCTTTTGTGATCTCAATAAAGACCATAACAAGCAAAAACGATTCTATTAAGCATCCTGTTTGTATTTCAATTTGTTCTTGAATCGTTTTGGATTGATTCCGTACGCCTAAAGGAAACTTTAATAGATCAACTTTAGCAAATTACTTTTAGCCGTTGATCATCAATGTCTAAGGCTTTTTGAGGAGCTCCACCTTTAGCCTTTCGCTTTCTGCTCCTTTGATTTTTCACTTTGGCTTCACTCTGAAAAACAGCATGTAAAAAATGGTTTTGATTGCTGATTAGTAAAAGAATTTAATGAACCTGGTCAGGTAAAGCAGCTACTTTCTTTTTCTTTTTCGATAATTCCACCAATGACTCTTGTGGCTTAGGCTCGATGCTGACCTTTGCCTAAAATAAGGTTAAACATAAAATATTTCTATATAAATGAAGCTAACCTCAACAAGGTCCTCTTTTTCCGGCTTTTGAACATCATCTTCTTCTTTTTTTTGGAGCTTGCGAGATTTCTTTCCACCAAAATCCGTTGTGAAAATGCGTTCTTTTTTCTGGGTGTCAAGTCCTTTACGCTGATAAGCTTTTACATCAAAAAGCTCTTCGGCCTCCGTTCTGTACGCTGTAGCCTAAAAAATGAATCAGTTGTGATTATTTGTAAATTTGCTCACCTTTTTTAAACTAGCCCAAGAATTTAACTGTCGATCTTCAGCATCCAGAATTTCGCCATATTCCAAGCCAAAGCTATTGGGAACCACTTGCCGATATTTGAACTTTGTTCGTTGATCACCTTGAATTTTTATTTGCACAAAGCACTATAAACAGCGTTACCAAGTATATCCTCGTAATCTAGAGCATAGTACTCATCAAAGTATTCCTCAAAAGTTTTTTCTTTAGGATCCCAAAGTGGCTTTTCTCGAGAGATGACTTCAGCAAAGCGAGAGTTACGCTTTTTCCGTCTTCGTGACTCTTAAAGAAAAAATCAATTTTAGTGGAAATAAAACCGCTTACTATCGAGTCGGCCACGAAATTGTGATTCTTCGTTGGTGTCTTCAGTTTCAGCATCCAATGCTTTGTTTTTCAAAGTACCTATATAGACTCACTTTTTTCTCTATCAAAAATCCCCTTACCAAGCTCAACATTGTCTGGATCGTCACTCTCATCCCCATCAAATTCGTCTTCCGAGAGATCAGAAAAGACTGGCTTTTCTAAGTCGTCGTCAGCGTTTGCTTCCCCTTTGCCATAATATTGTTTATCGAAAACTTCCTAAATCAGTGGTTAATTTACACAGTTGAAATTCCTAAAACCTGCATCCGGCGATCATACTCTGCAGGGTCAAAATCTCCTTCGAGATCATCGATATTCAAAGCAATATCGTCACCAGCCAACTTTCGAAGTTTTGCCAATTTTTTATTGATTTCGGTCTAAATGTTGAAGTTACTTGGGATTCCTAAAAGTGTTCACCTTTTTCATGTTCTTCATCTGTTGAATTTCTTGCATCTTTTCTTCCTTTTCTTTTTTCTTTCGTTCCCGGTGAGCCTCACGTTGGTCTTTTCGTTTCGAGTCTTTTTTTCTCAACGTTTCGGCAACTGTTCGAGGATATTGTCTGATCTGAATAGCAGCCTTGTGATAAAATGCAAAATGATTATAACTCACAAAATCTTGGTCAGGTTCTTCATAGCGTAGATTGTACTTTGTCTCAAACTCCTCTTGTTGATCAACTTCTTTCTCATCTTGTTCGACTTCACAAATTTGGTCATAGGTTGGAACACTAAAATCTGATATGAACTGTAAAATTTTTCAACGTACCCATCGTCATCACCCAATTCATATTCTTTGTTAATAAAGAAATCTCTCAAAAAGCGCTCGTCGTCATCCAAGTTTTTATCGGACCATGCCTACTTGAATCATCAAAGTGCAATTTGTTTTTACAAACCTCTTTTAATGGACGCAATTCTTCGGAGTAATTTGTTGGCTTATTGTCTTGGCTTTTCAGCCAGGTATAATAATTATCATTTTCTTCTTCCTAAATTATAAAAAGTTTCTCAAAAAACACATAACCGACCTTTTCAGTATTGCTCTTTTTTCTTCTAGTCAACAAATCATTCTCCTGGCCGTCATCAAAGGTTTTATTGATGGCTTGTTTAATTCTTAAAAAATGTAAGTAAAATATTACCGTATTTAACTCACTCTTTTTTTAGACGGTCTTGAACTTCATAATAGCCTTCGTCTTCTATCTTGGGTTCTTCTTCTTCATCGTCTTCTTCAAACTTTCTAAATTAGACTTTAGATTTACTTTAGATAAAACGACCAAACCCTTCTTTTTCCGTCACGATTTTGCGCTCATAATCTCGCAGGTAGAGAGGTTTATCCTTTGTTTTCTTCCCAGTTTTCTTTTTTAAAACCTCGGATTGAGCATCCTTTTCCTAAAAATGAACGTTAAATCAAGCTAACATTGACAAATAAACAAAAATTACCTTGAAATACAGCTTCTTGTCGTCATAAATCGATGAGTTGTTTGTTTTCAAGGCACCGAGAATGTGGAGAAAGTTCTTCTCGTCATCAGCTGTCCATTCCTGTAAAAGTTCAAGTAATTCAATAGAAGTATCCACAATTCTCACCGGTTCAGATTCACTAGAACTTTCATCATCTTGCTCAGCAACATCGTCACCATATTTGTCTTTCACTAAATGCAATAACGGATCATTGTAAAAACTAAATAGTTACTTTTCTGCATTTCTTCCAGCCGCCTCCAATTGTCGTAGCGTTCGGCATATTGATTGTTGATTTTTAAGCCGCTTGTGCTCGGTCCATCTTCGTCATCAAAAAGTTTGAGCTTCTTGCCGGTCATCTGGAACATAAACGTATAATGAATTCTCCACAATTAAAATCGTAAAAGGAAAAAAAGTGGCAGAAAGGGGAAAAACGCAACAAGCTTTAGAAAACAAGCCTGTATTAATTATTTTTAAATTTTAATGATATTCGATCAACGAGTTGAAGTTTAATTTTTCGTCGCTCAGCAGCCTAGGCCAATTTCCGCCATTTTATTTGTGCAATAGGGCCATTTGCGCCAAGTGGCGCAAATAAAATGGCAGAAATTAGCCAACCCCGCTTAGCTTTTCAGAGCTTCATTTTGGATCTTTATCTTTTTTTCGTTCTTTATGGCGCGCACAGAGTTGTAATCTAGTTTGGTCTTACTATTAGAGGTTTTTGCTGAATTTGGACCGCCGAACCTCCTAGAACTTTAGAAGACGCTACTTAAAGCCTGATGTGCTGGCACATTGATTTTTTTTTGCCGATTTTTTCCTTAAGCGTCATTTTTTACGTAAGCTCATTTTTTTTACGTTCTACATTTCATATTTTCCGTTTTTCCTCTGCAAATTAATTAAGTCGAAACAAAATATTTAGGAGGACGAAGACGAGGCAACGACTACTTGGAAACGACGGACGTGCCCCCAACAACGTTCAATATCAACTGGAACCAAGTTAACGTGAGGATTTTCTTGTAACTGTTTAAATTTGAAACTCAAGACGGAATTATGACTCGTGCAGGGTAGTGGTATAATCTTGCACGTGGGATACAAAGGGAAATCCAGAAAATCCCTTTGGGGATGGCGCTATTGACGTAGGAATTTGGCAAAGGCACAGAGAAATTTTGTCGATAGGAGCTTTAAAAACGTTTCGCTGCTTTTGCATTGACTGAAAAGGAAAATGAGAGCAGTGTTTATTGATGAAAAATAAGAATAAGATGAATTATTTATTCACAGGAAAAGCAAGTTTAAATAATATAACAGATCGCTAAAATTTACAAATGTGTATGATGCTTGAATGCTACACGTAAAACAAGTCGGTAATACGAGTGCTTATTAATGAAAGATAAAATGTCTTTTAATACTGACCGACTTAACAATTAAATAAATCATAGAATGCTGTGTACAGGTAAATGTTGTGTGCATGGATGAGAATGAGCGGCTTTTCGAAGACTTCTCATTCAGCAGTTTGATTGAGCTAAAATCCCTTTGGCTTAAAGCTTGTTCAGTAGCAAAACAAACTTTTTTATGAACGCTACCGAGGCTGAGTTGATCATATGATGGCGGGGGTACACCATCCTTTGGTGGTCCATATTCAAAAGGAACCTGTGAAACGCTTTGTGCTATTAAAACCGTTTTGGTTTACGTTTTTCTCAAAGTGAAGTGGCATAGCTTTGCTCCCTGGCACTACCGAAACGCTTGCCATTCGTCCACAGTTGGTCTAGAAAATAAGAAGTAAAGGCTGGGTGTTGAAATTCACCACTCTTTGATATCGTTCAGAGCGGCTTTTCAAAATACGAGTGAAGATGAAGATAGCGCAGAGAATCGCGAGAAGCGAAAGAGCCAAGAAACAAATCTAAAGTTTCTTTGGCCAGCACAAAGACAGCTGTAAGTTTTTGTTTCCAAGACCAACCTGGAAAATCAGTGGAAGGCGCTCCTTGTTGTACCAGGGTTGTTGAGAGCCTAAATTGCTTGATTATTCTTAAAATACAAGCAAAGAACATTGTTAGCTAGCTTCGACACGCAAAGTTAGATGGAACTGATTTGTCGTCAACGTTAGGTATTCACCTTGCCATCCATTTGAATTAAAGTCATCGTCATCGTTAGACAGCTCTTCAGCTTTAGAAAGAGGGTGTACAAACAGGATTGGCTCGCCGAATTGATTTATATTACCAACTTCACCTGCACAACAACATTCAAATCATGCATCAATTATGCTTTTAAAGACCAACCTTGTTGCTCAGATTGTGCAAAACCGTTGGAACCAAAACTTTTTGGATGATTAGACTAAAGTTTATGTTGTTAGGCACGCTTTTTGGGGCTAAATAACCTGAAATGAGTTGTCGGAAGAATCAAAATTCTTAAAGAACCGTTCCCTCATTTGGGCAAACATTCTGTCGAAGCTATCTTCGAAGCTAAATCTTACAATTTATCTCATCTGACTGAATGATTAATGCCTCTCGAAGTGATCCTCTGCGGAACTTTTCTGAAGAGGCTTTTGTCCAAAGATTTGGAAGAGATCGTGACTTGGAAGATCCTACAACAATTTCTTTTATTGGCTACTGTCGGAAACTTACAGAATTTTCAACCGATCGGTCTTCTTTGGGGCCATCATGCTTGATAACTTGAACTTCTGGCTTTCCCTTCCCGTTGTAGTTCATGCTCATCTATAACGGACGCCACTAGTTAGCACAAGTTGGTCATTGTGCTTACGAAAACGGAATTGATCATAGGAAGGCCGCATGCAAAATGACAGGCTGATGCTTCATTATTTGTCGAGTTCTCGTAGATGGATTCACATTTTCGATAACAGTCGATGAAGAGAAACATTCCAATGTCATTTTTTCGGTTTTTACAACCCACAAAGCAAGCTCCTTGCTAAAATATTATTGAATTAATGCAAAAAAATAACAATTTTACTTGGGGCTCATTATCGTACTTGTCTCGACACTTTCGTTGACAAAATGATAGATCACTTGCCAAAACGGCAGCCAAAAATGTGGCTATATAAATATAGCCCCGCATTTCTAAATGTGTAAGATTGATTCTATGTTTAACTTTAAACTTTAATTTAACTTTAAAAAATAACAAAAACCATAAAGGCTTTTTCTTGCAAAACTTTATAGAAATCGTTTCAAAACGGTTGTTTTCTCAGTTTGTTATCCACCGAAAATCGATGGAGAGGGAAAAGAAAAAAAGACGAGAGGTGAGAGTAAAGACACGTTGCTGTCACTTCTGCAGGAGAATCCTTTACATCATTATAAAAAAATTTATAAATGGTGTATTTTTGAAGAATAAATAAGTTAAAGGCATTGAATTTATATGTTGTTTAATTTTTAGAACGCTGGATGAAGGTCCTCTTTTTGCACCCGGACCTTGGAATTGGAGGTGCCGAACGTCTTATTATTGATGCGGCAATTGCATTGAAAGTCGGTAAATTATTTTCTCCTTTCGCCATTGTTTATTTTAGAATAAACACCACGATGTAAAAATAGTGACAGCACAATATGACGAGTCGCATGCGTTCAGCGAAACAAAGGAATTAGGTTTATTTCGATTGGAATTTATTTGTAAATGTTGTTATTTAGATGTCAGAGTTATAAAACTCTTTCCGAGACACATATTGGGCAGATTTTTTGCTCTTTGTGCGTACATTCGAATGATTTTTGCTGCCATTGCGATTTGCCTAAAGATGGATTTTGATGTCGTTGTTTGCGACCAAGTTGATTTTTAAAGAGTTGATATCTAAGAGTACCATAAATAGCTGACTGCAACTTTTAATAGATTTTTACAGGTTTCTGCGTGTTTGCTGGTTTTCAAGCTGTTTTCAAGCGCCAGGAGGATATTTTATTGTCATTATCCGGATATGCTTCTCACCGAAAGGAAAACGTATTTGAAATCTATGTATAGGTATGTTTTCAGCTTTTAATTAAAGTGTTCCTCTTTAGATTTTTACTAGATTCTTTCGAGGAGTGGACGACAGGGATGGCTGATATAATTTGTGTGAACAGTCAGTACACTGCCGGAGTTGTTCGTAGCACTTTTAAATCTTTGAAAGGTAAGAAAAAGCATTTTAAGGAATATAATAAATACTATTCAGATCATAAATTAGAGGTCGTGTATCCATCACTCAACATGAAATATTTTGACGAGATTGAAACACGAACGGTTGAAGAAGTCAGTGCAACATGTAACATTTTAGTGTTTACCATTCAGATTCCTGAAGATGCGAAGTTTGTATTCATGTCATTAAATCGATACGAAGTCAAGAAAAATGTCGCTTTGGCAGTTAAAGCCTACGGTACCTATTTCATTTGCTTTCATTAAAGAACTTTTTTAGCACATCTTCGTCACATTTTATCTGCTACGGAATTTGATCATACATGTCTGGTATTTGCTTTCTTGAAGCACTTTTATTTGAAGCTTAGGTTATTGCCGGAGGATATGACAAGCTTAATCAAGAAAACGTGACTTATTATCGTGAATTGGTTGACCTTGCGTTGGCTAACGATATTCCATCGCGACATATTGTATTTCTCAAGTCTCCATGTAAGTTTTGAATAATATTAACTGATCTTTTTACACTTAGCTGATCGAGAAAAGGCATATTTACTGAAACGTGCAACAGCCGTTCTTTATACTCCGCACAATGAGCATTTTGGTATTGTGCCCATTGAGTCTATGTACCTTGGCAAACCCGTAATAGCTGTGAATTCTGGAGGTATAATATGTTAAAACTATCATACAAATTGTTGATTTAGGACCAATGGAAACGATTGACGACGGGAAAACTGGGTTCCTTTTGGAGCAGGCACCACAACAGTTTGCAGAAGCAATGAAAACAATACTACAACGAGAGGATTTAAGGTGCTTGATTTAATCAAACAAAGCAAAAGGCCCATAAGACTTAGAAACATTTGTACTTGAAAACCTAAAATAAAAGTTCTCCATAAATATCATAATCTAGTTGGTGGTTAGCTTGACGTTGATCGATCCTTTCTTGGCGTTTGCTTTGAAATGCTGTTCGGCGTTAGGAGGTTTCTCTGCACAGTACATGTATTCGACGACGAGCTTATCGACTTTAGGCACTACGATCTAGAAATAAACAATTCATAGATTGAAACGTTTTAATTTACCATTCGTTGGATTTCGAGTGAAGCTCCTTGATTGGGCTCGATAATACTATAAACGGGGTCGATCCGATACATTTCATTACTCGATGACTTTTCCTAAAAAGGTCTTATTCTAGTAGGATCGGATAACTAAACCTTTTGCGATTTTTTGATGATCTGTAGGGCAAATTTATCACCAGCAGCTTTCATCTAGAGAAGATTTTAGAACTCTCATTTGGTCAAATATTGATTAGTTAAAAATAAAAACATACCGTAATTTCTGGTGGATCAATGATCAGATCTGATGGTATTCCTTCATTTGACATAGTCGACATGCTTACGAAATGATGCAGAAATAATAGGATGATTTTTTTCGGGGAACATTTTTCCACATTACTATGCTGTATTAATTTATGCAAATTTTAGATTGTTGGCTGCCAAAGAGGGTCCAAAACGGGTGCAACGATTATTTGCTTTTGAGGCCTTTGCGACGCAATTTGATCGAATTATTCGCGGATTGCCGGTTGATTGAAGCTGTGATTCGTATATTTTTTTAAAGTTCTTTGTTTATTAGTTACTGTGTTTTGCTTGTTTGTTGATTTTAATAAATGAATTCTTAAGCATTTTACTACTTTGAGAAGTTTTCTTTGACTATTGCTATTTGAAATTCTCACACTGGTGACTATGGCAACCCTTACTTGGTTTACTTGCTTTTATTGGTGCTTCCGATTCATAAATTAATTTATGTATCGCACAAATCTTTTTGGGGTAAGTTTTTTCGATAAAATGTGCTTGAAAACCTCATTTGTGAGATTCATTTTAAGTCAAAAGCCGCTTTTCCGAGTCGCGCGTCTCAAATTACATTCGCATTTCACAATTATGGAAAAGCTAAATTCATAACTAGTGCCAATTCATATTCATTCAATTCACTCAAAATATAGCTTTATTTCGCCATGACTGTTCCTGTAAGTTCTTTTTGAAACGGCAGAAAACAAACGGTGAATATGGTTAAATGAATGTGTTCACGCGTCTGTATGTTTAGTTTCTTCCCTCTTTTCAGCAGGGGTGTTGCCGTGTTTCTCTTTTCGCCCTGTATGTTCCTCACAGCAATGACCTTCGCTATTTTTCCAGCCTCTCACTGTCGCAAAAATTGAATCGATTTTTCGAAAAAGGGGCGGTATCTTTCGTAGATCGCAAAACGTAATTTCATAGAGGGATGCTATGTAGTTCTTCTGTCCTTATCTTATCTCATCTCGCGCCGCGTTTCTTTGTAGTATTCATAGGCCGTAGTTTAAAATTTTCTAGAAACCCCTTTTTAGCTTACATCATTTCAGTCAATAATTGAAAGATTCCAATGACGATTTCGAATCCTAGGATTAATGCTACATTTATCTTTTCTTAAGGTTTTTCTATATTTTGTAAATTTCAGATGTCGAAAGCCTTCATTGGAAAGCCTGCCCCCGAGTTTGATGCTCAGGTAATTCTTTTTAATTGTTTCTGAAACATTTGTTGGTTTAGGCAGTCGTGGATGGCGACTTCAAGCAAGTCAAGCTCTCAGACTACAAGGGTCACTACGTAGTTCTCTTCTTCTATCCTTTGGATTTGTAAGCTGGAGAGAAATTAAAGTCACTCCTCATATTTTAGCACTTTTGTTTGCCCAACTGAGATCATTGCCTTTTCTGATCGTTTTGAAGAGTTCAAGAAGCTTGGTGTCACTGTGTTGGCCTGCTCGACCGATTCAGTCTTCAGGTTTGTTGTTTTGATGATCATCCTCATTGTTTTTGTTTAGCCATCTTGCTTGGATTCAAACCCCAAGAAAGCATGGAGGTCTTGGTGACATGAACATCCCCGTGATTGCTGACACCAACCATCAAATCTCGAAGGACTACGGTGTCTTGAAGGAGGATGAGGGAATTGCTTTCCGAGGTTCGTTTTTTAAATTATTTTTATGGTAAGCTTTACAAGAATTTGTTTAGGACTTTTCATTATTGATCCCAAGGGAATTTTGCGCCAAATTACCATCAATGACTTGCCTGTCGGACGATCTGTTGATGAAACTCTTCGATTGGTTCAAGCCTTCCAATTTGTTGACAAGGTAAAAATTAGGGTCCTACATATGTGTCAACTGTCAACAAGCCAAAACCAAAATGAAAATGGAAAATGGATGTAGTTGAACCAAATTTGTCAGTCACTATTTTGGCTTAAACATTTACTATTCAATATATTTCAGCACGGAGAGGTCTGCCCAGCCGGTTGGACTCCTGGCAAAGACACGATCAAGCCAAACGTTAAAGGAAGCAAAGAATTCTTCGAGAAACACTAAAAGATTTCCATTTGTCAGTCTTTTTTGTTTGGTAGAAGTTTCTTATATCTAAGCATCGATTCTATTGAAACTTTTGAATCCGGTTTGTGTTTTGTCATATTTCAAGTTGAATAGGTTTTATCGTAAATAAACCATTGGATCTTCAGAGATAAATACATCTTGGAAGCTTTATTCGTGGGCAATATTTCTGTCTAACAATTTGAATTTGAAAAACGAAAGAATTGTGGAATGTTTTTACCATTAGATATCTTGGAGTTAGCTATTTTTTGTGTAAATTAAAGGGATCTTTTGATTGCAGCTACTTATAGCTACAGATAATTTCACAAGTACGTGTGAGGCCCCAGTACATGTTTAATCGGACGCCTCACAACAAGCGAGCAAAATTTTAAGGCAAAGGCCCCGATTTGGCTGAGTAAACTCTCAATGCTAGTAAAATGTTAGCTTAATCTAGTCAGCAATACTTTTTTATTGATCATGCTTTTTTCCGTTAACCAATCCGTTTAAAAAAACGTTCGTTTTTCAGAAAATGGGTAACTACTATGTTAAACCTGAACGTGCCGGAAATTCACCATATACCCGTTCAGGATTGCCTCCGCCAAAGTTGGATCCAACCGGCGACAAGCCATTGCATCGGTAAGATTTTAATAACACTTAAGTTTGGTCATGCTAAGACAATTTTATTAATTTAGGGGTGGTAATGCAATGTCGTTGGAAATGCACATGGCTGATGAGAGGGCTCGAGCGCGCGGATTGACACCGGCTGAACGTGAATGGCGTATGAAATGGGTTAAAGTATGGTTTACTGGTATTGGGAACATTTTAGTCGTAAATTTTGAAGAAACCAATATTTGCTTTGTTTAGGATCAAAATCTACATCCCGATGAACCGATTGCTGTTGATGCAGTTCACAGACAACTCAATCCGATTCGAATTCTTTACAGGTTATTTATAGTGCAATGGTTCATTAATCCAACACAAAATTGTAAGAGTTATTACTACCAATTTTTGAAGATGGTTGGTCTATTTTGCGTTTGTTTCAATTCGACGGTTTGGCTTGTTTCTTCAGGTTTTCGCTTTTCCTGGCACTAAAATAAGTGTTGATTTAACGAATTGGAAAAGGTGCCTTCGACCGAACAATTCTTTCATTTGTTTGTATACTGGGTTGTTTTCCATTTGCTGCACTACCACTTTCACTTCCTAGTAGTTTGCATCCTGCTTTGTCTCACATTTTCCTAAGCACAAAACAATGATTTTATATTGTCAAACCCCTACTTTTCCACTTGACTTTTAGGATCTGCCTTTCTGGATCTTCTTTTTTTTCCTCTAATCAGTTTAGTTAACGAGAAACAGAAATATCAGACATTTACTGTGGCTCTTCCTTTTCATCAGCGCTATTCTCGTCTTCTTTGTCTTTGCTTCTATCGTCACCTTTCTTCACTGAATCGTTTTTGTATTTCTAAAAGGCTTATAGGCCAGAAGTAGATTAAATGCTTACTTTTTTAGGGTCCTTTTTTTGCCAATCCATTGAGGAGGGGCTCTTCAATCAATTCCTTCTTCTCGAGCAATTCTTTGTTCCTAAAATCTAAGTTAATTGATTATCTAGAGGAGAAAGCTCATTCGAATAGTACCATAATCGGGCGCAGAGCTGTACGCCAATTCGTCAACAAATTTTATCACTCGTCTGAAGTCCTTTGGCACTTTATCGAAAATGGCGTTAACTAAATTTCATACTGAATGAAAATCCGGTAGAACAAACATTTTTTGTTAAAGTGAAAGAAGGATTTCTTCAGGCTTAGCACTTCTTCCTTGTTGACTTTCCTCCGGCACGGAACAAGATTTTGATCGAAAAGATCGATCAGCATATAACACCACACCTTAAGATAGATAACTTAAAACTTGCAATAAAGTAAACACCTCTAGGTCATCTTTTCGTCCCTGTTCAACATTCATGTGGCAATTTCTTGACGCAAAGCGAACAGTCCCGATGAACTTGGTCTTTCCCCTTGGCCTAAAAAGGATCGGCACTTATGGTTAAATGAGTAACTCACTTTAATCTCTTCTCCGAATCAATTTATCTCCTTGCAATGCCAAAGTTCAACATGAAGATCGTTTCTTGTTGCTGTTGTTCAACCAATTCAATCGCGAAGTTTTGTGATTTGATATCCCTTAAATAACGGCAGATTAGAACAAAAAAAATGATTCCACCTGTGAATGTAGCCAGTCGAGTGTAGCTAGATCTCTTATTGCATCGAGCGCCTGTGGTATGATGAGCCATTTATTGGGATAAACCAGTAACCATGCCTTTTCGCATTCCACAAGCACACTGGTTTCAAGTTTGAGTCGCAGCAGCTGCTTGTTGATGTGTTGGCTATCGGTTTCCGTTTTCGTAGCATATGACTAAAGGATGTTGATCAAAAACTAATTAGTGAAATCCCTACTTTTCCCTTTTCATCGTTCACTCGATAGACGTCTCCAAATCCGCCAGGTCCCAGTAACTCTAGCACTTCGTATGTGTACTTGGCCGTCGTGATCGTGACTCCTTTTTGGATCTTCTCTCTTTCTTTACCGGTTCTTAAAAACACGTATTTAATGAATTCGAAGAAAGTACGGTCTTCTTTTGACTTTTTGAGGTGTGCGCGTGGGTGTTTTTCCTCCTCCATCTTTCGAGTGTCTTACTTTTTCTTTAGAAGCCTTCTGAAGTTAAAAAATTGAATCAAGTGCCTTTTAATTCAAAGATCAATGACGTAGCATGAAACTAACACCAGAATTTTAGAAATAATTACATAAAATAACATGAAAAAGCCCACTAGTCTAGTTAGTTCGTAAAAACTCATAGGAAGAATAATATAAAATGTAATGCTAACTTTCTTTCTTCTTTTATTTGAGGGTTAAATGAAAATTAATGAAGATCAAATGTAAATTATGGTCTTAGAATATAAATGCAAATTTATATTTTCAGATGGCCACTCGATAAACTCTACAAACATTTTTTGAAACCAACATTTGGAGTTTATCATGGTATGTCGATAAAGTATTTTCTTTGAAAATCTCTTTAGGAACGGCGATTCGTGTTGTTGTACCGAAATTCATCTTTGCTTTCCTTGGTTTACAGGTATTTCGTTAAATTTTTAAAATACATATTTTTGATGAGCTGTCTAGGTGATCTACTATTATTGGAAATACGAGGCCCGAGATTGGGCTCATCTTCGAGGAATTGAGACATCACCTGAACGCCCCGTGATCATGCGAGGCGCCGAAATCGAAAAGCGATACCCCGGATTGCAGGTTTGCGCTTTGGCGTTTACACAGTAAATTAAAAATGAATTTGCATATTTAATGCTATTTGATACATCTACTGTTCCTCATTTTTAGACGAAAGCTTTGGCGGACCCTTCAAAATTCGACTATCTCTCTCCTTCATACGAGAAACGTACTGCCATTCTTGATGTGGGCGCTCCTGGCCGTCCCTGGTGATTTTGTATTAAATTTGTAGAAATGTTAGAATAGTACTTACTGGACTTGAGTGTAAATTGTTCTCTGTACCTTAGCTTTTTTTCGTTGAAACGCTCAAGATATTTCGTATGAATGCCGTTCTAAGTAGGGTACGCATTATTTTTTAATTGATAAAGATTTTGAATTTGTCACAAGATTTCTATGCACGAACCATAAAATACACTCATTCTTTGCAAAAACAGCATTGTAAAGGGATAACGTTTTCATCCTTTGTTATGCTGAATAAAGATGAATCGTCTTCCTTTTGATGCGTCTATAAAAATAATCCTCTCCATTCAGCGATTTACCGCAAGAAAGGATCTCGGAAAATTCAATGCACACACGAATAACATGCAAATTCGTGGGCACAGTCTCCTCTTTTTGATCTGAACCTTGCTATGAAAATTTAGCAATTATTATCTAAGAGAATTCTCTAGGGTATCAAAAAAAATGATTAGCGGATAGGAAGGGGAGGTATCAGGGTTTCTAAAATTTTCAAACATCTTTGAACACTTAGTTTTCTTTGATTTGGAAGTTATTTTTGATGCAAAGATCTTGGAATGATGTCAATATTAGAACTCCAATTTTATGATCTGAAACTTAGATAAACAATTTGTAAAGCCATGCCATAACTACCGTAATCTTACTCGAAAACTACCGTACTCTTGCTTACAGTTTTCATCTAATCTAGTTATTTTGCATTTTTGTGAACTCGTGAATAAAATGTAGATAATTTAGATGCCTAGAAGGTTACTGTAGTTTTCGCACTGTAGTTACTGGCACACTTTAGCAAACTTCAGTCTATTGAGACAAAGCTTGCAAAAGAAATGCAAATTGGTGTGAGATCTGAAAGAATGACGGGTACAGCCTGTTTCCTGTTCGTTGCTTCAAAGCTTTTCCTTTCCTGGAACCCGACTTCTGACTCTTTTCAAGTGTGTAAACTTTACGTAATTCACTCCGGCAAAATTTCTCCTTTTTTTCTTTTTTTCGATTTCTTGTTCTTTGCTGGGAATGATTCTAAATGTCCACAAGCCGAACAATCCAATTTGTGTCCGTCAAAAAACGTAAGCAATTCTCCGCAAAGATTTTTCTTTCCTTTATTCGATTAGCCAATAACTTTCAGCAACCATTTTATAATAATTTTTTTTCGCAAATGTCCCGTGGGGTTAACAGGTGCTTTTCATTGCCTAAAACATCTGCTTTTCCGGTGATTTTCCGGCCGAAATTTCCTTTTGGATATTTGATTTCTCTTGAAAAGAAATATGCAACATTTTGATAATGATAATCTTTGATTTTTTAGGAATGACAATAGTTTTATTAATGTTTCACTAAATATCTTGATTTCTAAAAGACACCAGAAGCCGTAATGTGCCGTAATGAATTTGCCAGTTGACATTGTTGACATTGTTGACATTCGATCAGTTTCATTTTGGTCTTATTGACTGAGTCTTGTTGATTTCTCAACGAATGATACAAAAATCAAATGGATCAAATGCGCTGATCAAATGGAAACGGCGAGTTTGAGTATGGTAGTTTTTGGAAATATAAAAAAAATAGATTTTAAAAAAACGAGCTAGCTTCTCTTGGGTTGATGGGCTTCTTGATTGTCGATTTTTTTTTTTAAAATGAAACTATAACTTTTTCTGAAACTTCTGAGTGAAAACAAGTATAGAGTTGTCCTTTTTGGTGTTAAAGTTACATCCCGATCTGATGCTCGCTTTTTGCCGTTTGCCATTTGCCATGAGAATCGTCACTTGTTAGGTAAAATTTTTCAAAAGAGATCCCAATAAAACTTGAAAATTTGTCTCAATTTTGAGAAAATGTTCCCTTTCCAATCGCCCTTTCAATGAACTTCACTTTCGGCAACGAAAACAAATCACTTGTTTACGTGAAAAGATTTTTCTTCGCCTACAAATATATAAAATTAGATATTTTCGCCTTTCATTCACTTTTTTTTTCACTAGAATATTGAAATTTCTTCGCAAATTCTGATTTTAAACTATTTAGAATTTAATGTCGATTCGAAATCGATAAATAAGTATTTGATTGAAAGATTTGGCTTTATTTTAGTGTACTTACCTACCGTAAATACTGTGATTGGACCCCACCCCCATAATGACGGTGTGGGGTGTCGCTTAGACTAGCTTTGAACGCGTTTTTCTCGACACTGGTTTATGCTACAATGCGCGCTTAGTTATCAACAAATAGCTGAATTTCAGCTATTTTTTGATACCAAAAACGCATTTTTTGAAAGTACGGGCGCTTTAAAAAAAAAGCAATGAAATGAAATACTAAAAAACTTTTGCGACTACGCGACTGTACGAGGGCGGTGGGCGACTATTACAGTATTTACGGTAGTTTATTTTACGTATTTTACCAGAATATCGGACAGAATACCAGATTTTACCAGAATATCGGACAAATCTTGTAGCCGAGTGTGAGAACGAGATTTGGCACACATTTTCATGAATCTCATTCAGCTATCCAGTCATTCAGCTTTTTTTTACCTAGAGTATGTCTCTCTAAAACGTGCCACCTTTCAGAAACTACCGCAAGCTTGGTCATCTAGTTTTAGCCAATGCTTGATCTAAGTTTGAGAAGAATACCGAAAAAAAAAGTATATAGCTTGCTAACAATCAGAGACAAGATTACGGTAATTGGTAGAATTTAAAAAGTACCAAAATATCACTCCAACGAAAGATTTCTTTTCACCTGAATTCACTCTAAACGATTTTTCTGCAACTTCCATCTTATTCAAAGCTGTTCACCACTAGAGTTTCGTGAAAATGCTCCTTTCCCCTCAACCATTCAATTACTCAAAAATAATAACCCCCTAATTGACCCGATGAAAAGCTTTCATTTTCCTCGAAAAACTTTATAATTATAGGGATTTTTCTAACAAATTTCAAATCGCAAACCAGTAATGTTTACTTAAAGATTTTTCATTGGAAAATTCATAATTGAGTTGTTCTTTTTGTGTCAAAGTCTCATCCAGAGCTGTTTTTGCAAAATCATGACGAGTGTATGGAAAAATCTCTTTTGCTCAAATTTAAAATCGCAAACCAGTAATGTTTACTTAAAGATTTTCCTGGCATTCTTGGCAAATTCATAATTCATCGTTTACTTATTTCAATAACGCAAACCAGTAATGTTTATAGTAATGCACAATGTACAGGTAAAATAAAAGTCCCCCTTAAAATAAAATTGCAATAAAGCCCATAGCTAACAATGAATCTCTTCGCGATTTAGGAGTAGGAATCTCTACATATCACCTCCTCTAAAATAACCCCCTAATTGACCCGATGAAAAGCTTTCATTTTCCTCGAAAAACCTTATGATTATAGGGATTTTTCTATCAAATTTCAAATCGCAAACCAGTAATGTTTACTTAAAGATTTTCCATTGCCATTCTTGGCAAATTCATAATTCATAATGTTTACTTATTTCAAAATACTTATTTTACTCATTTATACTTTATTATTTACTGTTTACTTATTTCAATAACGCAAACCAGTAATGTTTATAGTAATGTACAATGTACAGGTAAAATAAAAGTCCCCCTTAAAATAAAATTGCAATAAAGCCCATAGCTAACAATGAATCTCTTCGCGATTTAGGAGTAGGAATCTCTACAAATCTCTATATATATATTAATATCTGGTATGCAAATAGATCTAATCACCTCCTCTAAATTTCTCTAAACACATAGAAAGAAATTATGCAAGAAGAAGGCTTTTCTGCGGGCAAAATTCATAGATCTATTTGCATACCAGATATTAATATATATAGGAAATGCTTTATTATCTACGTTCGCCCGATCCTCGAGTATGCTTCTTTAATTTGGTCAACTACACTACTGGATAATGAAATATCATATTTGAAAAAAGAGCGTCACTTTCGCGCGTCTGTAATTCCCTTGTCTTTACCGTATTTCTAAATATTAATATTACCATTGTGTAGCCCTTGAAAAGAGCTTTCAGAAAATGTATAACACTAATAGTTTAAACTCAAAGACAAGGGAGTTACAGAGGCGCGAAAGTGACGATCGTTTTTCAAATATCATATTTCATTGTCCAGTACTGTATTTCTAAATACCTAAGCGACAAAATTGAAAAGGTTCAGAAAAAAACACTATTCAAAATTGATTTTGCTAACTACACTAACGTCAGTTATAAACATAAATTGAAACTTTTCTCACTTGAAACCTTAGAACAAACCTTAGAACAAACCTTAGAACAAAGCCTAGAACAAACCTTAGAACAGCGCCGTCTTATCATAGATTTCGTTGAGTGCTTTAAAATTGTAAAGGAAAACATCAAAACCCACTTTTTAAAGAAAAAATCAAAACCTCTTTCGGCTAAACTCGAGGCTTTTGGCGACTAGGCGTGGCTCTTTTATCTTGCATCCCGAATCTTCTTTCTCGAAATCCTCTAGAGCTTTTTTTTTTGTAAATCGTATGATTAAAGTTTGGAATACCCTTCCCGACAAGTTGCCTTTGATCTCCACCGTGTCTGATTTTAAAAGGGCTACTTCGTTGCATTTTAAGTGACTTTGTCATCTTTTATCTGCCACATTTTTTTGTGTCTTTTTCGCACTTTATTTCTTTCTAAATAAAGTATTTATATAAAAACCAGTAATGTTTACTTAAAGATTTTCCAAATTTACTTTCATTTCAAATTTTTAAAATATTAAAATTTCCTTATTAGAGGAAAATAAAAGAGGTTTATTTTTTGTATTTTCTCGTAAAATTAGTTGAAACACCGGGGGCTTTTGCCAATTTCCGGCCAGGAAAGATCAAATATTCGGAATTCATTTCATACTGACTAACGTTTTTCTTTTGTTGTTTAATGTATTGAATTGGTGAATTGGTGAATTGGTGAATTGGTCAATCAATCAATTGGTCAATTGGTCAATCAATTGGTCAATCAATCAATTGGTCAATCAATCAATTGGTCAATCAATCAATTGGTCAATCAATCAATTGGTCAATTGGTCAATCAATCAATCAATCAATCAATTAATCAATCAATTGAATTGATCAAATCGAATAGCTTTTTTTAAAACCTTGTTTTCTAATCGACTTTCAATTGATTGATTAACTGATTATGTGATTTATAAAAGTTTTTGCAAAGGTTTTTTTACTGTTTTGCAGAATTGTAACGAGAAAAATTGTTTATTCGGTTAGAACCCGTAAACAATCAAATCTTTTATCAAATTCAACGAAAAATCTCAATAAACATATTGACACAGATTTTTGTTCATGTTTTTATTGCAAAATTTACTTTGACTTAGTTGAAAATAGGATAGATCAAAAGAACCTGCGCACTGCCATGACTCGAACCCACGACCCCTCGCTCCCCAGGCAACCGTGCTAACCATTATACCACGATGTACTTGATCTCCCTTATTCCAGAGGGAGTTAAGTACTTACCGAAAAGAAATAGAACTAATCGAAAATAAGAAAGAATAGAAAAACGATTTTAAATAAAAAACACAAAGCATATCAAATTGAGAACCCGAGCTGAGCCGGCTTTTCAAATCCCCAGGTTTTTTTTGTCGTTTAATTGACACGAAAAACTTTCTAAAACCTTGCTTATCTTTCCCTTTTGATCTTTCTTACCATAACTATATTCTATCAAACGCATCACCCAGTAAATCTAAAAGTTTCCCCAACCGGAACTCTTCCCTTGGCCTTTTCCCAATCATTTCTCATCACATTTTCATTTTCTCATCATCAAATCATCAAGAAACAATTCTTCTCTATTTTTTTGCCTAAAAGAAAACAAATCAATGTGAGAAATTCTCAGGGAAATCTCGCGCAACACAAAAAACACGCGCCTTTTCTCTTCTCTCATCACTTATGACTCAAAACAAAGAATTTTCTTCTAGTATTTTTCAATTTCCTCTTCTTAATCTTATTTTCTTACAGAATATTAGCTAAAATTTTTAGTTTATATGGATTTCGCGGAGAACAACGATGAGTTCTATATTTTCTCGCTTGTTCATTGTAAAATGGCCGCTCTGATCACTGGAATTGGAGGTGAGGGGAAATAGAAATAGAACTAATCGAAAATAGAAAGAAGAAATGATTTTAAATAGAAAACACAAAGCATTTCTGAGCTAAGCCGGTTTTTCAGATCCCCCAGATTTTCTTGACGTTTAATTGACACGAAAAACATTCTAAAACCTTGCTTATCTTGGATTCCATTTGGGAAAGTGAATCTGTTCGTTTAGGATTATCAAATCTATTAACAAATAAAAGAATCATCAATCAATAGTACTAGTGGAATTTTGAGAATAAATCGAGCTCCAGTAGTCTGATCGAGAATAAATCGAGCTCCAGTAGTCTGATCGAGAATAAATCGAGCTCCAGTAGTCTGATCGAGAATAAATCGAGCTCCAGTAGTCTGATCGAGAATAAATCGAGCTCCAGTAGTCTGATCGAGAATAAATCGAGCTCCAGTAGTCTGATCGAGAATAAATCGAGCTCCAGTAGTCTGATCGAGAATAAATCGAGCTCCAGTAGTCTGATCGAGAATAAATCGAGCTCCAGTAGTCTGATCGAGAATAAATCGAGCTCCAGTAGTCTGATCGAGAATAAATCGAGCTCCAGTAGTCTGATCGAGAATAAATCGAGCTCCAGTAGTCTGATCAACAAGTACTTTGTGTCCTGACAAACGCGCGCCTTTGGCACACCGAATTCCTTATTCTTTCCCAAGATACTAGCTTTCTAAAGTATACCAGAAAGGATTCGTTTGCAAAAATACAAAGTACAATCTACAACCAATGATTTTTGAGATTGAATTTTAGGCGCACTGATCGTGATAGTGTTGAGCATTCTTGGCCTATCATTCTTCCAATGGAAATACTACGATCCATCGGTTGACGTCATCGCAATGATGGGTTTCTGCATTTTTCTCATCTCTGGCACCGTCATTCATCTCTTAGTCATTTACGGGATTCGATGCAATCGAGTAAGTTTATATATTTTCCGAAAACCACTCCACCCATTAGCAATCTAACTTTAAGCTCAAATTTCTTCCTGTTGGCCTTTTCAATTTATAAATGATTGGTATCATTAGATGCGCTAAGTCTTTCGCTATCGATTGGTACAAAAACTATTTCAATTAGACAACGCAACACCAAGAAATTTGGGCTCAAATTTGGATTGCCAATAGCAAAGGGCACGTATCAAATGTCGCAGAATTCAGCTTTTCATAACAATTGAATTGTTATGAAAAGCTCTAATCCCTATCAATTTCCAGACTCGCTACCTTTCCCCATTCTCCGCTTATCATCTTTTCCTAATCGCTCTGAATACAATCACTTCATTGATCGCTGTTGGGGAGATTGTATCCGATCAGGTTTGTAAAATCAATCAGAAACTTATTTCTTTTTCTTTTAGAAAACAGTCCGAGAGAATTCAAGCGATCATGCGAGAATTATGCTTTTCACTTTGCCAGTTACCACTTTAGTTCAGGTGAGTGCAAGGTTTTGGTTTTGTTAAACGATAATTTCAGATAGCGATGATGTACTCGGTCTCTCGCTGCAAATCCTATTTGAGGAAAAGAGCGAGATGGATGAGAATGGGAAGGCGACCGGTTGGTTATTGAATTGTTATGAAAAGCTATTCGGCAAGTTAAATGGGTTACTGTAGAGACAGACAGACAGACAGACAGGCAGACAGACAGGCAGACAGGCAGACAGGCAGGCAGGCAGACAGGCAGACTACAGTATCCCCAAGAAAGACAGACATAAATACACTGCTCTTTTACAGATCATTAAATCTTAATAACTAGTCATCTAAACGAATCTTTCAATTCCAGCGTGTACGCGAAGTTCTGGAGACTCCATCCAGTCACTCGACTTCATCAATTTTCACCACGAAAACCTCAATCACTCCACTTTTCACCCCAAAAACTTCGCAATCATCCGAGAATTTGTTGCGATCCGATCGAACCGATCGACCTCATCAATCCGATCGACCGTCAAGTCCCGCAACACCCGGTCCAAGTCATAAATGAGGGCAAATTTCTTATAGGCGAATTCTTCGATACCGTAGCCCGTTTTCTTTTTGATAAATTGAAATATTTGTATTATAACCGTTTAGCGTAGCCCAGGGTGATCAATTCAAAGGTTTGAGCTTAAAACTGGCTTCAAATCTTGATTCAATGTACTGATATTCAAATCTTGATTCAACATACTCAAGCTGATAGAATTGAATGCTTAATACCATTCTTAGACTCCGTTTGAAACCTTTGAACAATCCGCCCTTCAAACTCCCCCTTAACCTCTCCATTTTGTTGTCTTTTCTTGATCGAACTTTGCTCAAACTTTCCCTCTTCCGATCTCTAATTCCATTTTTTTGTAGTTCAAAGTATTTTAATTTACTTATTCTCTTTGCAGCGAATATTTCATTTCCTAATTTTGTTTTAATGTTGATTTTTTTGGCGATCAAATTCCATTGGGAAATTGTAGTGATTTTTGTGAAAAAAAAAACAGTTCCTTTTGAGAAAAGCTCGTTTCCATGGGTGATTTTCTCGAGGAGATCTGTAATTTTTATTTCTTTTGAAAAAAGAGAACCTTCTCGAAACATTCTTCAATCTTTGTTCTATAGTTGTGATTGAGAAATAGGGGTCGGTGCCTGGATTGGAAGAGCTATAAGAAAATACAGTATCCCCTGGCCTAGATATAGCTATAGCATGGCCAGCAATACTGTACTCTTGTAGCACGGGCTGTAATGGCCGGATATATCCAGTAACACATGGTGTAGCTCCTTACACAGGCCTAGCTATAAACTTCCTGTGTGCTGAGTCATACTATGAGCTCGCATTGAGTTTATCAAAGCCATCATAGCGTTACAATAACCTTAGTCCAATCAAATGTATTGTCTTCTAATACTACAGTACACCCAGGCTTCCCTATAGATCTCTATCCAATTCATTCTATGGATTGGACAGACATCTATAGGTAAGCTTTGAATGATCTATAGAGATCCATAGAGATCTATAGAGATCTATAGATCATTCAAATTATCCAATTTGCATCAAACTTCTTCTTCTTCCTCATCCAATCATTTTTTTTTCTAAATCGGTTACTATATTCGTGGGTTTATGTACGGGTTTTCTTTGTGTAAATTGTAAATTATTGTATATTTCGATGCTTAGATAAATTCTTATTGTCAAGTGGGGAAAAAAAGCTACACATCTAACAGTGGCATAAACACAAAACAAAAGAGGAGAGTCATCGATCAATTAATCTCTTGAAAATCATTCATTATTTCTTTTCACAAAGCAAGCGTGCAACATTTCGACGATCCGCCAGCTTTGATGAATTCACTCATATCCACCTGGGCTACCTGAAAAAAAAATGGGGAATAAATGAATTGGAATAGACTGAGGCAAATGGAAAAATCAAATAGGGTTTCCCAGAATCAAGCAGACTACAGTACTTTGTGATATTCATTTTTTAAGAGAAAGAAATTAAAGTAGGGAAAAGATTTGAGCTTTTGCTTTAGTTTTACAGTGACCTTCTTGTATTTTTACCTATCTTTTGCATCATTTTCTATTCAGCACTAACGGTGCAAATCTACATTATGTAGCCGGTTACTGTAAACTTTGATTGATTGATTGATTGAGTTGATTAACCGGTTACTGTAAGCTGACTTAACCCTTTCCCTCATAACTTTGCATGGATATTAAATTTTGAGTTGATTTTGGTATCATTTGACGCGCAATTTTATTCTGCATCGAATGATAGTCAAAATAGCCAAAATCAAAGAGTTTTTGCTGAGAAAAAACGAAAAACCTTAAATTACTAACGGCAAAAAAGAACCGACAGATGTTTTCGTTAAAAGTCTACTGTAGGATACAAAACGAAAGCTGATCAATCTACTATCAGATGTGATCTCAAACCTCGAATCCAATTCGGTGAAGTGTGTTGGCAATTCTCTCAGATCCTCGATTCATCACCACCGTTTTCCCGACGACAACCGCGTTGCAAGCAAAGTTTTTCGCCTCTTTATCATCAATCTGAAAAGAAAACAAATGAAAATGTTTAAAATTAGAATCCAAATACCTCAATGGTATTGGTGGTTGATTTGATGTGCCACTGGGAGACACCGTCGAATGCATGCGGGAACCACATGGCAACCTAAACCAGATAAGAAAAAAAAATGAGTTTATTAAAGGAAAATTCAACCTAGCTTCGCATTCTACAGTGCGGTGCAAAACCATACGCCACCCCCTAAATTTCAATTTTCTGCGGCTCCCGTGCCAGTGAAAAAAAACTGAAAACGCAGTTAGATTCAGGACCAAAAATAACCCTTAAATCCGAAAAATCATCGACATGGCATGAATAGGGAAAATGTAACAGCCAAAAAACGAAAATTCACTGAAAATTCCAAAACCTTGACAATCCAAGTTGCTGCATGAGATCGAGTTGAGCTTGCTCCCCGTCAGAGAGTTGAGTCGCTTTCAGCATTGTTTTTTTGTTGAAGTTGAAGTAAGACAAAGGCCTTTAGGCCTCTTTAGGCCTCCTTATAAGGATTCTGAAGTGAAAGGGTGGGATTTATCTTTGCCAGAGGTAGATTTAGCTTTTAAACTAGAAAAAAAGTATGAAATGACACCAAAATTTGGGGGGTGGCGTATGTTTTTGTACCGGGTGAATTTTCGTTTTTTGGCTGTTACATTTTCCCTATTCATGCTATGTCGATGATTTTTTGGGGTTTAAGGGTTATTTTTGGTCCTGAATCTAACTACGTTTTCAGTTTTTTTTTTGTCACTGGCACGGGAGCCGCAGAAAATTGAAATTTAGGGGGTGGCGTATGGTTTCACACCGCACTCTATAAAGCTGATACCATACTGTTGATCTCTTCATTTTCAGTCTAATTCTCAATATGTGTACAACGAAAAAAAACAAGTTTTGACCACTTCAATGGATACTTTTTCAAGGGTTTTTCAGATCAAAAGATAGAGCTTAAAAAATATTATCTTCATGTAGCGCATGAGCCTGAAAAAGTAGTAGTTGAAATGGCTAAAACTCGTTTTTTCGTTGTACACCTATTGACAATGAGAGCGAAAGTAAACAGCTCTAGTAAAAAGCACTTACAGCTAGCTGAACTTATTCTTATCTATGCTTAAATGAAAGCCAGACAAATCAAAGCTCACCTCCTCGTTCAGCGGACAGAAGCCCGTGTCGATGTGATAGAATCTGAAAAAAAAATGCACATATTACAATCATTTTCGTATAAATAAAGAATTCTTTCACTAATACAGTACTTTCAAATGATAACGAGAAAGAAAAGCAGTAGCAGTATCAACGTTACAGTATCTCTTTCAAAAAAATAACCACCGTCTACCCTAATAGCTTTCTCCAATCTATTGTAAGATTACAGCAATCTCAAACTCACCTCGCATCAATGAGATTACAGCCGACAATTCGCACATTCTCCTCGTCGAACTCTCGCCGCAAATCGGGCAACACACTGCAAATAAAAGCATTGAAAAGGTATTCAGCAAACAAAGTACCCTAATCCTAACAGATCTCTTAAGCTACACATATTTTTAAACTCGTAAAGACTACTGCACAAAAAAGAACCCGGAAAACTTGAAACAAACTACAAAACAACAAAACTGATGGCACGATAACGGTAATTTAAAAGATGTTCAGCGAAAAAAAACTCACTTCGGATCGGTTCTCGGTCCAACACCGACCAGCAAAGTCGACAGGTTTTTCCCTGCCCACAACGCGTCACCGGCACCTAAATTTGGAAACTATTAAAGCAGAGAAATTTTTTTGAATTCAATTTTACACTCATGAAATTGGTAAAAGATAAACCTTCGAATGGAATCGTCTCACTGCCAACACACTTGTACCCGAGACTCTCCAAGAAAATCTAAAATCAAAATAATACATCGAAATTTGAAAACAATTATCATACCGTAAATACTGTAATAGTACCACCCCACCCCCATAATGACGGTGCGGAGTGTTGCGTAGTCTAGCTTTGAACGAGTTTTTCTTGACACTGGTTTATGCGGAGTTTTGCGTAGTCTAGCTTTGAACGAGTTTTTCTCGACACTGGTTTATGCTACAATGCGCGCTTAGGTATCAAAAAAATAGCTGAAATTCAGGGCTATTTTTTCATACCAAAAACACATTTTTTGAAAGTACGGGCGCTTTAAAAAAAAGCAATGAAATGAAATACCAAAAAACTTTTGCGACTACGCGACTGTACAAGAGGGGTGGGGCACTAGACATGTGCCGTCGGGTCGCCAAATGCATTCTAGCAAACGAGTTTTGTTTTCTAAAACGTGGATACAATGTGATTTTACTCTTTAGAAAACAAAAGCCGTTTGCTAAAATGCATTTGGCGACCCGATGGCACATGTCTATGGGGCACTATTACAGTATTTACGGCAGGTATCATAAAATTCGAATCCGTTTTCTAAAAGGCATCTATTTTTAGAGAAGAAATCTTATGGCAATCAAAATTGCTAGTTTCCATTCGATCAGCCGAATTTTGGTATGTTTCGAAAAAGGAATCACAACGCTTATAAAAATGATATAAAAATTTGATCTAAATCAAATAAAAACTGGCACCAAAATGAATGCCTTTTAGAAAACGAATTAACAAGAGGAAAGCAAACCTTATTGTGGAAGCGCTCGCCTTTGCGCTCAGCGTGGTGAAAATTCGCGAGATAAGCCTAAAAATGGAAATTTTGAATTTATAAAGATTAGATATCAAAAACTATTATCTAATTATATAAATATTAAAAATTCGAACCTTTTTTCCTCGAATGACGGCCGCGTTCGCTGTGAAGACCATATCGGGCAGATTCTCGGAGCCCGTCTAAAAAGAATAATATAGATATTCAAAAAAACTTTCCAACAAACCTGTGGCTCCATGACCTCAACTTTTGCGCCGGCTTGTGTCAGCACGTGTTTAAGTTCATCCCATTGCTGAAGAGCTTTCGGCTTGTTGACCCCGCGACGCATATCCATCCATGGATTAATCGCGTAGGAAACCTGAAAATATTGGAAACTTGGACACTTATATCCCCACAAAAAGAACCCATACGTCATTTGCATTATATGATCCAGCAGAAAAGCCCGCCTAACAATTTCTGGGCTGCTTCAGAAATTGTAAAAATGATTGGCATGTATATCCTTAGTATACTGGAATAAATTTCAAGCGAAAAGATCCGTGGAAGCGATTGTTGCCAGCAGGCGCAGATATCCAGATTGAGACTCGACTTGCGATTACTTTTTAACACCTAAGTTCCCAATAATCAATCAAATTCAAAATCTTTTTTTTTGCCCGATTTGTAGAGGAGATTCAGGGCTTTCTAATAGTATATAACACTTATTGGTTGAGGCTTACAATCTTTCGAAGCTGACTTCATTCCTACGTGACTTCCTATGTGAGCGCTGACTTCGTTCCTACGTGACTTCCTATGTGAGCGCTGACTTCGTTCCTACGTGACTTCCTATGTGAGCGCTGACTTCATTCCTACCACCCTAATATTCATAACTCAACAAAATGACCGTATTATCTCTACTATATAAAAAATAATCTCTGTCTGCCTGTGCGCGACTACGGGCGTCCCCTATGAGTATTTTAAAAAACGCTGAACACGTGTCTAATGAAATTTCATGTAGTTGTGCCTTTTAAAAAAATTTTTGCAAGCATTCAATGTCGCTACGGTCACTGACGGGGGTCGAGCCAGGGGTTTGCCGGGATTATCAGAGGAATTCAGGGCTTGATATAAGTATACAACACTTATTGGTGGAAACAAACAATCTTTTTGTTTTGCGAAAAATGCTCTGAAGCACTGGTTTCCACTCCGATCACCCCCCTAATAGCCACGATCAATTTGATTGAGGCACGAGTTCTTTTTGTAGGAATCTCCCACCAAGGGTATATAAGGCACGAATAAAGACCGATTGCGGTAATCTGACCAGTTTCGTCGGTCTGTCAGTTACATTCCAGGAAATACGGAAAACAGGAATCTGGTATCAGATATGAAAAAATTTCTTCAATCTATTACCCTTCCAAAAAATTTGTTTTTTTTTCTTTTTCTGATGATACCTCCAATTATGAAGAAAGCATTATTTCAATTCTACAATACTCGAATAAGGAAATTCTAAACCAGATTTTCTTTTCCTGGTAGCCTGTTTTGCTTGTATATCTCTAACGTTCCAAGAAATTTAAGACAGGAGTCTTCATACAAAATGAAAACGACACACTCAGGGCTCACCCTCGAAAGAAATCTCCTAGGGTAAAATGAAAGACGCAGCTCTATCAAGACCTAGAATGCGGATACACCAGCTCTCGAGGTTCAAAAAATCCAGTGAAAGTGATCTGAAGAAGAAGACTTAGATGGGCTGACCATGTGGCCAGATGGACGATACGGATTACAGATTACAGATGGACGATACGGGTCCCACTGGGTGGCTACCCACTGAGGTCAGAAGAGGATAATCGGAGAGACCACAGCAACGAGATGGAGCATACGAGAGTCAAAGAGACAGTCAGAGAAAGGATGTGGCTAGAGTGCAGCTAAAATCACTAGCACAAATAAATTAGAGACTTTGGACTACTGAACATCCCAGATGAGGAAACCCTGGACGACAATAGCAAGAAATATCGAGATGTGGAAGCAGGTTGTGATCTGCGCAAATAGGAACACCAAATAGGAACACCGCAAATAGGAACAACAAAAAATCATGCAAAATCTCAAAATGTTTACCGTGAAATGAGTTGGTCGACACATCATGATCCTTTTCAACGGCGTTTCCATTGCTTTCGCGATTGATGAAGCCATTTGATGAGCAGCTGCTCTAAAAAACAATCTATAGAGTTCAGCGTTGATACCGTAACTCATAGTACTTATGGCTTATAGAAGTTATAGAAGTTGCTTCAGAGCAACTTCTATAACTTAGAGCTATTTTCTTCTATAACTTCTATAACTTAAAGCAATTTTCACTCTCACAACAAATCCAGTAAAGTGTAAAGGTATTGTAAGTACAGTAAACTTGAATAAATAGTATTCAACTGACAAAACTAAATAGCGAATGGAAATTAAGTGTTAGTCTTTTTAAATGAATGAATACTTGGGGCTTACTGTACTGTGGAGTGAAAATTTGGTACCTTGTCGATTATAAATCCACAGAGACTCAACTCGGTTCAGCAAGGAGCTGACAACTTGTGAGGGGTGATTATGTTCAGTGATTATGTTCAGTGCTCGCCTGAAGTAGCCAGTTGATCAATCAAACGAAAATCGATAACTGAGAAGACTCGGATGGGGATGCATCCCCATCCATCAACAAAGACTCATCTCGGTTAAGCATCCGATTACCTTGCCGAGATGAGCTCTTTGTTGATCTCTGTAACATGCCAACTTAAACAAATATACAATTTCAATAAAGAACTCACCTCATCACGGAAAAGTTTCACTAGATAAATACGATTAAGTGAATCTAAAAAGGTTGCCGTGAAGTTTAGATGGAATCTCCGGAAGAAAAGATGCTATCTGGTGATTTTCTTCTCAATTCATCGCTACTGGCTATGGGTGTTGTAAATTCCCCCCAAAAAGTGTCAGTTTTTGATAGAAATCACAACAAATAATTGCCTTTAGATAAAAGATTTCGCTGAGTTGTCCCAGTAAAAGAAGTTTAACTTAAGGCAAAAGGTTCTACTTTGAGACTAGAGTTAGCAAAAGCAAAAGAGTTAGTTAGCAAAGACTAGAGTTAGCAAAATAAATAAAATTAAACCCAAATCTCTAGACCAAGCCAATCATTTTTGTATTCTTAAGCCTAACCCCAATAAGAACCAAAAAAAAAAACGCTCACTTTCGAGTAGTTGACTTATAAAAGAATGATATCTCTTTTACGAAATTTTTCAAAATTTACAAGTTAGAAATCAAATTTTTATTGCGCGGAAATAGATTCAAATTTCGCAAACCTAACGAAAATTCAAGACAATCGGAGCAAATAAAATGCTTGATTTTCATTTTCTCAGTGATTTTCATTGGCCTATCAATCACACGAATTTCGGGGGAAATTTTGGGGAAATTTTTCGAGAGAAAATCATATCAAAAAGCAAGCTCTCATCATGAGAAATAGAAATAGACAAATATGGATCAGTTGATCGATTCATATAAAGAATATGATAGACCGTATTCTCTCTAATAGTAGTGCCACCCCGGCGGTTGATAAACTACCCCACGGAAACGAGGTTTTCCTGGAAGCTCAACACTCTAATCCCCCCCTAGATCTCATCGTCAGCGACATTTTCCGACCTCACATCGAGAGGTTCTAATAAGCGATTCTCGAGATTTCGAGGAATTTAGGCAACGCTCAGGGTGCACTACTCCCCCCCCGGATACGGTATATATTATAAAGTTAGCTGGCCGTTTCCCAGGCGTGGGGCTACCGGTTTCGGCTCGGCTTCGGTCCCATGCCGCGTCTTCTTTAGTTTTTAGCTCAAATCTTTGTATTAGGTTGGCAAGAAAGTTTGTAGAAAAAGTTTGCACAGTGATTTCTCAAAAACCAAGCCATCTTCTCAGATTTTTTTTGATAAATTTGACTATATTACAAAAAGTTTCTGACAAAAGAATCAGAGTGGGCTTCAGGCAAAAAAAAAAATAATAAATTTCTTCAGCTGAATTGACTTGATCACTTTTTGAGTGACCAGCCTTTAGACAAGTTTTTAATGGGTTATTAGCTGAATAGGCAATGATTCCCATTCAAAACCTAAAATGAAATACTAAAAATGAGGAAAATTTGTGATAGACAAATTTAATCTAATGCTGAAGACTTTCAAGAATACCTGTTTTTGTAAAAACTAAGTACCAGGGAGTATTACCAAAAAATTCTTTTTTTTGAAATACAGCTTTTCTGTAAAAAGTCTTTTGGCCAAAAATAGAGATTATAGAGATTATATAGAGTATTGCTCATTTATACTAGCTTTACCTCATAAGGAATCCTTTTTCTGATGCAAAAAGTGAGCTGAATTTAAGCTGGAAAATAATGATTTTTCAAAAATCTCGAAAATTTTAAGGGAAAGCTGCACTCATTTTTTTGAATGAGTAATTTCTTGGAAGGTCACGTCGTAAAGCAATAGAACAAAATGTTCTTGAAGATGGTGGATTCGTTTTTAAAAAATTCTAGTCTAACTTTTTTCCGAGAACTTTCTTTCCAACCTAATATTTAGTCTAATAAAAAAAAAAAAAAAAAAAAAAAAAAAAAAAAAAAAAAAAAAAAAAAAAAAAAAAAAAAAAAAAAAAAAAAAAAAAAAAAAAAAAAAAAAAAAAAAAAAAAAAAAAAAAAAAAAAAAAAAAAAAAAAAAAAAAAAAAAAAAAAAAAAAAAAAAAAAAAAAAAAAAAAAAAAAAAAAAAAAAAAAAAAAAAAAAAAAAAAAAAAAAAAAAAAAAAAAAAAAAAAAAAAAAAAAAAAAAAAAAAAAAAAAAAAAAAAAAAAAAAAAAAAAAAAAAAAAAAAAAAAAAAAAAAAAAAAAAAAAAAAAAAAAAAAAAAAAAAAAAAAAAAAAAAAAAAAAAAAAAAAAAAAAAAAAAAAAAAAAAAAAAAAAAAAAAAAAAAAAAAAAAAAAAAAAAAAAAAAAAAAAAAAAAAAAAAAAAAAAAAAAAAAAAAAAAAAAAAAAAAAAAAAAAAAAAAAAAAAAAAAAAAAAAAAAAAAAAAAAAAAAAAAAAAAAAAAAAAAAAAAAAAAAAAAAAAAAAAAAAAAAAAAAAAAAAAAAAAAAAAAAAAAAAAAAAAAAAAAAAAAAAAAAAAAAAAAAAAAAAAAAAAAAAAAAAAAAAAAAAAAAAAAAAAAAAAAAAAAAAAAAAAAAAAAAAAAAAAAAAAAAAAAAAAAAAAAAAAAAAAAAAAAAAAAAAAAAAAAAAAAAAAAAAAAAAAAAAAAAAAAAAAAAAAAAAAAAAAAAAAAAAAAAAAAAAAAAAAAAAAAAAAAAAAAAAAAAAAAAAAAAAAAAAAAAAAAAAAAAAAAAAAAAAAAAAAAAAAAAAAAAAAAAAAAAAAAAAAAAAAAAAAAAAAAAAAAAAAAAAAAAAAAAAAAAAAAAAAAAAAAAAAAAAAAAAAAAAAAAAAAAAAAAAAAAAAAAAAAAAAAAAAAAAAAAAAAAAAAAAAAAAAAAAAAAAAAAAAAAAAAAAAAAAAAAAAAAAAAAAAAAAAAAAAAAAAAAAAAAAAAAAAAAAAAAAAAAAAAAAAAAAAAAAAAAAAAAAAAAAAAAAAAAAAAAAAAAAAAAAAAAAAAAAAAAAAAAAAAAAAAAAAAAAAAAAAAAAAAAAAAAAAAAAAAAAAAAAAAAAAAAAAAAAAAAAAAAAAAAAAAAAAAAAAAAAAAAAAAAAAAAAAAAAAAAAAAAAAAAAAAAAAAAAAAAAAAAAAAAAAAAAAAAAAAAAAAAAAAAAAAAAAAAAAAAAAAAAAAAAAAAAAAAAAAAAAAAAAGGGGGGGGGGGGATTGATTTTGAGGCAATCCATTGGAATCACAACCACAAACTTTGCCCAATTAGCAAGACGGGACAAAATCAATGTTGTTGCAGAATATCCCAGCGAAGTGACCCCCCAAGACGGTCAGAGCGTCGCGTAGACTAACTTTAAACGCATTTTTCTCGCCACTCGTTTATGCTACAGTGTATGCTCAAGTATCAAATGAAAGCTTCAGGGCTATTTTTTGATATCAAACATTTATTTTAGTTGACTATCGAGATCTTTTGAAAGATTGAAAGAATCTAGCAACTTTCGTGGAAAGAAACTTCTGTAGGTGATGAAGCTTCTGTAGGTGATGTAGCTTCTGTAGGTGATGAAGCTTTTGTAGGTGATGAAGCTTCTGTAGGTGATGAAGCTTCTGGCAAGAGTGAAACTTCTGGGTGATGAAGCTTCTGTAGGTGTTCAGGGCTTCTGTGATTTGATAGAAGCTTCTGTGAGTGATGAAGCTTCTGTAGGTGTTGAAGCTTCTGTAGGTGATGCTGAAGCTTCTGTGGGTGATGACTTCTGTAGGTGTTGAAGCTTTTGTAGATGATGAAGCTTCTGGTGATGAAGCTTCTGTGGTGATAAACTTCTGTGGGTGGTGAAGCTTCTGTAGGTGATGAGCTTCTGTGGGTGATGAAGCTTCTGTAGGTGATGAAGCTTCTGTAGGTGTGAAGCTTCTGTAGGTGATGAAGCTTCTGTAGGTATTGAAGCTAAATAGTGCATTCAGAATAACTCCTTCGCAATTTTCAATTTGCCTTTATTAGAAAGTTCTAAAAGTAATGTCAAATAAAGTAAGCGAAAATGAACTACTCGGAAATGGTATTTCATGTTTCCATTGATATTTTGCTACCATAATACCTCTAATAGAACCCCCCCCTAGAGCGATGAATGATGCGCGTAGTCTAGCTTTGAACGAGTTTTTCTCGCCACTCGTTTATGCTACAGTGTATGCTCAAGTATCAAATGAAGGCTTCAGGGCTGTTTTTTGATAAGCAAATATTGTACTTGTGGCGAAATGGATAGGCGCTTAGAAAAAAACGATTGTAAAAAATTTTACGACTACACGCGACTATACGGGGGAAAAACGTTATTATTAGAAATATTACGTGAAATCAATTAAAATTGCTCCCGAATCAAAGTTGATTGTGAATTTTTGTTAAAAAAAGATCTTTTCTATGCGCCAAGAATCACTTTCGCAACAGGATTTAGTGTTTTTATTTGGGATGATATTTTATGCTGATAAGACTCCGAGTGGTTTACCATTGTTTAAAGCTTAGCATTTTCTTCGATTCTCACCTTTATTGGCCACTTTTATTTGACCACGCTTTGTCAGCCACTTTGACAGCCACTTTATTGGCCACTTTTATTGGCCACTTTTATTGGCCACTTTATTTGGCCGCTTTTGTCAGCCCACTTTTATTGGCCGCACACAACAGCCCACTTTTATTGGCCAGCATAATGGCCACTTTATTAGCCACTTTTATTGACCACTTTATGTACTTTTGTTAGCCACAACTTATTACTATTGACCTGCTGACAGCCACCTTTGTGGCCACCTTTATTGGCCCACCTTTATTAGCCCCCACCCTTTATTGGCCACCTTTGGTGGCCACCTTTGTGGCCACCTTTGTTGGCCACCTTTGTGCGGCCACCTTTGTGTACCTTTATTGGCCACCTTATTGGCCACCTTTAGTTAGCCACCTTTATTGGCCACCTTTATTGGCACCTTTATTAGCCACCTTTGTTGGCCCACCCCTCAAGTCCCCATCTGTCAGTTTCAGTGTTTAGAGATGTTTTTAAAGAAAAAAAAAACGTGCTTCAGAGGCAGCCTTCCCGAATCGATTAAGCGCAAGAAATCTCTTCAAAAAACGATTCCATAGTTTTTCTTCTTTAATATATCTTTAAAAATCAATTCTTAAAGTTTTTGAGTTGCTTTTATCTTTACATACAATGTTATTTTGCTTGCAATGTAAAGTCTTGTACTTTAACCATTTATCTTGTACAATGTTCTTTGTTACCAGTAGTTTATAGAGTACAATGAAGAGTACACGTATCTAGAGTACAATGAAAAGATTACTTGTGTTTGAGTACATTGTGGAGTACCATGTTTAAAGTGCATTATAAAGTACCATCTTCCAGGTAAATTGTAAGTACCCCAAAAAAAAAACATTAAAAAAATTAAGGCACAAATGTAGAATTACCGTGTTTAAGATTACTCATGTTATGTCAATGAAACTTCACAAAAATGAGTTTGAATTTTACTCTAAAAATAGGTAAGCTAATAATATCCTAGTGTTCTGAGGTAAACATTTGATCGAGGTACGCTCGAATGCTCTGCAATTTTCTTTGAAAACAGATCTTTCGAAGTGTCTTTTTATTCGCACATTAAGCTTTTGAAGAGTCTTGGCTTGCATCACTTACCACTGTATTACATTGTATCAAACCAGAGCTCAAAACAAACTATCAAACAAACTTACTTGCTTATCCTTTGTATCAAAAAAAAATTTCCCTTTCACATCATCCTCTCTGAAAATACTTGAGCAAATCCGTTTGAATCTCATAAAGTCACTAAAAAATGGAACACTTGTCTCAATTTCTATGATGTGAAATGGGTTCAGTTCCAACTCATCTGGCTACAAGAGACAAAATTGTTGGTGCTTACGTGTTTCTTTCCACTTGGATGAGAGGATTTGGGGGGGCAGGAGGGGGAGAATTCTGAAAAAAAGGGCGAGTTGTTTCTCTCCATTTTGTGGGTGCCCAAATTGGGTGGGGGAATTTTTGAGAGAAAAAGGCTCCCCACTTTCCCTTTTTTTTCCACATCTCATTTAATGGGCAAAAAATTTTGTTTAAATTACTCTTTTCTCCCGATTGGTCTTGAAGAGGCTTGCAGACTAGAAGATCTTTAGGGGTTTGTAATTTCTTGTTTTAAATCTCATAAGACATTAAACTGTTGTTGATTTGATCCTTGGAGTTATAAAAGTTGAAAACCTGACAAATGCTCATAATACAGTAATCCTGTTTAAAATTTGCCTCTAGGCCGCTATTTTAGCATAGATTTGCAGTTGAAACCTATCGTGGTGCTCAGCCTATCGTGGTCAAGGCCTATCGTAGTCTAAGCGTATCGTAGTCTAAGCCACATCGTAGTCTAAACCTATCGTAGTCGGAAGCACTATCGTAGTCTAAGCCTATCATGTAGTCAGGGCCTATCGTAGTCTAAGCCTATCGTAGTCTAAATACCCATCGTAGTCCTATAAGCCTAGCATCGTAGTCTAAGCCTTCTGTAGTCCCAGGCCACCTACCATTGGTCTAAGCCTATCGTAGTCCCTAGCAGCCTATCGCGTAGTCCCTAAACCTATCATTGTCGGAGCCGACAAAATGTGGTCTAAGCCTATCGTAGTCTAAGCCTATCGTAGTCTAAGCCTATCGTTGTCCGAGCCTACCGTGGTCTAAGCCTATCGTAGTCTAAGCCTACCGTAGTCCGAGCCTACCGTAGTCTAAGCCTATCGTAGTCTAAGCCTATCGTTGTCCCGGTCTACCGTGGTCTAAACCTATCGTAGTCTAAGCCTACCGTAGTTCAAAGCTACCGTAGTCTAAGCCTATCGTAGTCCAAGCCTACCCTAGTCCAAAGCTACCGTCGTTCAAACCTACCTTAGTCTAAGCCTATCGTAGCTGTGTCTATTTACAATAACCCTCACCGAGCCTAGAGTAGATCTCTGGTGCTTACGATTAGACTGTTCGTTGAATTCATTTTTACTATACAAATTCTAAAATAGATACATATTAGATATTGAGACATCCAAGCTTTCTCATCTTTCCCATTTTTGAACACGAAACCCCAGGAAGGAACAATTTTCTTCTGAACAATGCTCATGAAAATTTCAAACGTTCCTTCGAGATTTCTTTGTGAAAAAAAAATTAGAAAATCTCAGTCATTTTCTGATTTTCTAGTTTATTTTTTAAAATTCCTTTCAATTTTTAAAGTTTAACTATCAAATGCATAAATTCAATTCTCCTTTTTGTTTTAGTTGAGATTTGCGTCACGTGGTGGTGTGGAGTTGACAGCATAGAGGAAGAAACGTTTTTTTAATCGAAATTTTTCTTCCTTGTACTCTAAATCACAGACAATTAACGTAATAGCAAAACAAAATTGATATTAACGTATAAATTTTTACTGAATTGAACAAATTGAGTGAAATATTGCCTTAACTCTTTTAAATGAAATGTTTCCTTAACTCTTTTAAATGAAATGTTTCCTTAACTCTTTTGCTTGAAATGTTTCCTTAACTCTTTTAAATGAAATGTTTCCTTAACTCTTTTGATAAAAATGTTTCCTTAACTCTTTTAAATGAAATGTTTTCATAACTCTTTCAGCATCAAATATTCACATAACTCTTTTGCTTGAAATGTTTCATCAACTCTTTTAAATGAAATGTTTCCTTAACTCTTTTTCTTGTAATGTTTCCTTAACTCCAGCTCCTTAAACTAGACAGATCCCTTACGTATTGTATTCTTTTCTTTTCATCTTTTGGTTGATTATTATCCATTCTATATCTTAACTTTTATCCTGATATATAAAATAGAAAATAAAATAAATAAAACGTTCCTTCGAGATTTCTTTGTAACAATGTAACGAGATTCCTTAACTCTTTTAAATGAAATGTTTCCTTAACTCCAGCTCCTCACTCCTTACTAATAAATAAAAGGTTCATCGAGATTTCTTTTGTAACAAAATTTGAAAATCTCAGTGAAAATCTTTTATAAAAAATACTATAATCCCAAAGCTTTGCAGAATCCCCGTCTCCATTCAGCTATTTGTTGGCTTTATTTTGTGTTCTCGTCGCCGTTCTCTCGACTCCACAAGGACCAATTGTTAGGGTGAGTAGGGGATGAATTACTTCAACAAATTCCTATCATTTTCAAAAAAAAAAGCCTTACAACTCGAATTTGCAGTGTTATTTGTGAAAATGTGTGAGTGAAATGGGTTTTTCTTTTCACTATACTTTTCTGATGTACCTTGTGCTCCAAAAATGTAAACGCATCCCTACTGGTGCGATGAGGATTACATTTGACTTGTCCCTCCAAGTGGGGAGTTATGCCAGAAAGGTTGCGGTTCAATTTTTAGCACAAAGCCTAAATGCCACTAATCTTCTTTGACTTCATCTTTCATCTGTGCTCTGTGCAATTCGATTTCGATTTCGATCTTTCTTTTAGCCACAATCCTCTCCTTATGGCCAGTGCTACAGTCCGGTAGTTGTTTTTGCCGGTACATTGATTGTGATCGATTTTCCTCTTACCAGCTCCACCTCATTGTCACTCGAAAAGGCCCTCCATTCAGCACATCCACGAGAATCAGAAAGTATCTTTCTATATTTCTATACCCCTTTTGCACTCTATCCCTATTTGCTGTGCTTCTATATCACCTAAGCTGATAAAAATGTTAGGTAAATCCTGTAGAAGTACCCCATTCCCATAATGATGAATGGTGTGCAGTCATTCGCGTAGTCTAGCTTTGAACGCGTTTTTCTCGACACTGGTTTAAGCTACGATGCGCGCTTAGGTAGCACAAAATAGCCCTGAATTTCAGCTATTTTTTGATACCAAAGACGCATTTTTTGAAAGTACGAGCGCTTTAAAAAAAAAAGCAATGAAATGAAATACTAAAAAAATGAAATACTTTTGCGACTACGCGACTGTACGAGGAAAATACTATTACAGTATTTACAGCCTCTACCTTTCTAGTAGGGCTATCTAATGTCCGATTTTTTTTCACAGGGAGAGTTCCTGTGGCGCGCAACTCGAATCCAGGATGGGGAACAAGAAGGATCAAACAGATGAATGTGAGTTATGAAAAGATAGATGAAAAAGATTGGATAAAGTTTTATTGATAACAACACTCAATTTCTATTCACATATTGCTTTTTGATGTTTTGAGTTGAATAGAGCCAACTAAGTCATTCAATTAGTCCTTTGAAATCAGCTCTAGTACTTACTAGAGCCTAATTAGTGAACTTTTTGCATTGGGATTAAAAATTTCTGGAGTTTTCTGGAGTTCTGAGCTAAATGCTTGCAGGATTTATGGGTTTTCCTTCAGAGTTTCAGCTTCAAAATATCAATCTCAATTGGATTTATCCAAATTTAGGGTAATTTCCCGTACTTCTCCGCCTTCAATCAGGGATTCCGGGCCCCGTTGGCGCGTTTCAGCCCGTTCTCCAAGCGGGCCACCAACGATTTTGAGGACGATTTAGTATAACCAATAAGTTTTACCTACAAGCTACCGTAATTCAAGCCTACCGTAGTCCTATTCTATTTATAGTACTCCCTATCGTAGCCCAGGAAAAAGTTTTGTCGAACAATTTTTGTGATATACTTACTCTCTCATTCATTGAGCTCTCACTCTCAGTCTGTTGATGTATACAAAAGAATAAATCTATTCCGTGTTATTGCACTTCTATAAAGTCAGACGAATATTCGGAAAAAAAAAGTTTTTCGTATATTCGCTGACCTTTTGCGATGAAGCGTGAAAATTCCCGACCGGGACATCAAAAAGCACGACAACCACCCACACGTCATTGAAAAACTCAAACAAATTTCATGCTGCAGTTTTCCCCAAAAATAGACTCAAGATTTTTGCCAATTAACACCAATTACCAAATGTGCCAGTCACGAAATCTCCAATGACAAAGAACCGACGGGAGTGGGACAAATGCGACCTTTTTTTTGCGCACCCGGACATTTGCGCACCTTTTTTTCCGCACTTAGCCCATTAGCGCACCTTTTTTCGCGTTTTAAAAAAGCTCTAAAAAGCTAATATTAACCAATTTCTATTCCAAAAGTTGTTTTTCTAGGCAATTTTAGGGCGTAGAATCGAAATTTTGACATATCAGAGCTTGTGGAAACAAACGGACGGAGTTATACAAAGAGAAAAATCGACAATTTTCTGTAATTTGATCTAGCCGTTTTGTCTTTCAAATTGGTTCCACAAGCTCTGATATGTCAAAATTCCGATTCGACACCCTCAAATTGCCTAGAAAAACAACTTTTGGAATAGAAATTGGTTAATATTAGCTTTTTAGAGCTTTTTTAAAACGCGAAAAAAGGTGCGCTAATGGGCAAGGTGCGCAAATGTCCGGGTGCGCAAAAAAAAGGTCACATTTGTCCCACTCCCCAAAGAACCGACAAAATCGACATTTGAATACAATTTGCAGATGAGACAGATCAAATTTAAGTACATTATGCAGAAAATCGAAAATTTTTACGCAAAAATCATTATTCTTGTTTGCAACTTTTTGATCGGATCGTCTTCAAAAGTGAGATTTTTGTTTTGTTATGTTTTCTTACGTTTAAGTGTTTAATTTGAAAGAAAACGCGAGCCTAAGTTGAATGGAGATGGATTAAGACTCACGAATACATAAAAGCCGCATGTGCTATGGTGTTATGCCTAGTAATTAGGGGGGTCCGATTTGTGAAAACATCGACTTTTTTTGAATTTCTACTACCTAGTTTTTACTAGCCCAGGCCACATGTTCATTATCTAATCTAAAAGTTTTGTTGTTACGCTAACAAGGCTATATTTTGATGCTAATAGTTGGGGGGCCAACGTACTTCATCTCTATTGAGCCAGAGCGCACTAATTTTTGCTTCTAGGGTTTTTAATGGCGTAGATTCTTAATTTGGTATTTATTTAAGCTTTAGTGACTGTTTTCTAGCTATTTCAAGCAGTTACTGGGGGAAATAGGCGAATAAGGGTAAGGGTTTGGCTCGAAACCTATTTTTTTGAGTTTATTTCAGTCCCAGTAACCGTATAGAGCACAAATAAAACAAATTTAAGCGCCGGAACGATGTTTTTCAGCAAGAAAACTGCAGAGCTTTACAACGTTTACTTCACGTCTTACACAAAAATTTTAGGTCTGATAGTTTTTGTGTTGGGCAGATCGGCCTAGCTCAATCGGGTAATATTTTTTGGTGCGTTCTCTGCGCGTCACGCGGTTCCCGGCCCATTTAAAAAAAACACTGACGCAGGCCACTTCCCGGCCGCGCATCGCTGGCTAGCACGGGCGCCACCTACGGCGTTGCCGTAGTTGGCAAATCATCAAACAACTCGCTAATGACCATCATCCTAGAAGAAAAAAATAATTAGGTGGTAGTAAAATCGGTATAAAATCTACAAAAAGAAAAGAAAAACTGAAAGAAAGGGTTTAAGACGTGAAGTAAACGTTGTAAAGCTCTGCCGTTTTCTTGCTGGTACCGTGGTACCGGCGCTTAAATTTGTTTTATTTGTGCTCTATACGGTTACTGGAACTAAAATAAACCCAAAAAAATAGGTTTAGAGCCAAACCCTTATTCGCCTATTTAACCTTTATTTGTTTTTTAGTGCGTGTGGGTCTCGTGGTTCGTACCTTGCAGCTGATTGTTGGAGTGACCCTTCTCTGTGCGCTCTACAACGTTGATCGTTTACATTTAAACAATGTCGATTTGGTGAGAGTTTTAAACTACCTAGGCAAACGAAATTGTTGAGAGCTTACGATCCAGCCTAACTAAAGTTCTATTTAACAATTATCACTCGTTTACTATTTTTTTAGCTACAGGAGCCCCCGTCCAAGCAGCTTTTGGTTCGCTTCAACGATGGTGCTAGAGTTGGTAAGGATTTTGTGCTAGTTTCAACTGAATTCTTTGTTTAGCGAATGAAACAGCGCAATTTACGGTGATGCAAGTAGGACCGGTGTATGCAATTGAGGTGATTAGAATGCTTTGTTATTCTAATTCCTATTTGTTTAGCTCTCGCCATTGGACATCATTGGCTTTGGAAAAGAAGAACTTTTCTCCAGGACACAGGTTTTTGCAAATAAATTTCCCTAATTGCATTTTTAGCCGGTGTTGGCCGCTTCAATCATCGAGTTTCTCGATGTGCTTCTCGTTGCGCTGGTGGCCGTCTACAATGAGCTAAGCGATGGAAAAGCGAAAAAGGTTGGCTAGAGTTTTTAAAACAATTAATTCTACTTTTTTAATTTAGTGGATGCACGTGGGGATCTGTATTCTGCGAGCGATTCTCCAAGTGTGCGCCTTCTCTTCAATTCTCACACATCGTCTCACGTGGAACTCGTTGTGGTCGACGACGAACGTTTCTCCCGTTTATCCCTCAAACTGGATTTGGATGATGGTTAGTCTTCCATGTTTAGCCTTTGTAATATCAATTTTTTCAAGTTAGATTTATCTTTTAGGTATGGTTTGCCTTGTTGGCAGTGTTGGCGCTAAGCGAGCTGTGCTTCTATTCACTCTATCGTTATTCAATTCATCTGAAAAGCCCAAAGAAAGAACCATCACAAGTAAACCAGTAGTATCATCGCTTTGTAAATTTCCCTTTTTCAGGTATCAGTTCGCCGTTACAGTCCAGTGGCGCCATTCGAGGGCGAAAAAACGGTTGATGAGCCCGCGTTGGTCGATGGAAATTTCTCGGGGTATCGAATGATCGCCTCCCGCCCTTCGCACATATCGTCTTCTTCGACTTAAAACGGATATCACTAAAGGATTTTTTCATATTTGTTATTATAAATTATTTCTATAGGTGCTTTAGGCGCCGAAATTTTTAAATAAATAGTAATTTTGTAATAGATGAAAAAAGGGCGAACATTGTGTTATGTTCAATCTTAAGCATATCATGCAAATTCTTTTATTGGCTTCTTCTTCATCGAGTCCATCCATTATGAGTGTGTCTTGTCGACAGGTGAGACATCGAATTGGAGAGGGGATTTTTGTGTGGATTGTCGGGCCAAAGGGGGAGAGTGTTTGTTCAAGAAATCCCCGGAGGGTCTCCTCCTTGGACACAAAGAGTTCCCCTCCCCGCATGTGTCTGGAGAAGAGTCTTGTGTGCTCACTTTCCGGGTGCCTATCCTCTCCCCAAGCTTTCGAATTGACTTTCAAGAGTGCTCGTTCTTTATCACTCAGTGACGTTCACGAGAATTCACAGCTTCTCAAATTTGGCCACTTTTTTTTCTAAATTTTCTGTCAGTTCTTGATGGCAACACTCGAAAAGACACGGATGTGTGTGCTTCCCCGGAAAGCACACGTCGGGGATGGGCGTGTGCAAGAGCCTTGTTTGTCTTGTGTATCTTCCTGACGAATGTTTACATCCGTGTGGATTTTGTGATGATGGAGTGGCTGTGATTGTGCGCGTGGTGCCATTCCTCGAGGGTGTGCCCCATTCCACAAATGGGAGCGGCCCATGGGTTCTTCTAGTCGGAGCGGCGGCACCCAAAAGTCATTATTTTGAGAACTTCAACACGCGATCTACACAGCTCTTCACTTTAAAAATGTTACTTTCCGATGTAAAAAGTCACAACTCCTTTATGCTTACCTTTTAAAGGTTTCCTCTTGCCTCCGATCCACTTTTTTTATATGAAATTTCATCAATCATCACTTTTACCCCAAATCATTCAGACCCCAAAATGGAACCTCGATGGATCATCACCCTTTTCGCCCTTGTCGGTTTTGTGGCCGCCCGGGCACAGTTGCCCCGTCTTGATCACGGATCCTACGAAATGCTATTTTCTCATGAAAACGGTAAGTCATAAAGTAAATTTTCTTGACGAAAACCCTCGATCTAGAATCTGTAGATAAAACGGGAACAAAGGTGCCACTGATCCCCTCGAATACACTCTTCCCGGAGGTCGAGGCTCCCGAAGTGAGTGATTTCTTTGGCAATCTTTAAATCACCACAAATTTAGTTGTCTCGAAGTGGGCCACGGAGAAAAGAAGAGAAAGGGGTGAGTTGCAGAGGGTAAATGTGAAAATTTCGACGTCTAATCAATCAATAGAGCAATTCCTTTTTCTAGACGTCGACAACGATGGACAGTCGTGAGAAAACGACAACCAGCGCCGAAGTGACCACTATCGATCCGGATTTCACCACCAAAGAGCCACTGTGAGTGAATGAATGCCCTACAAAATCAGATTTGAAACAAAAAATTTCCTTTCAGTTGTATGGATTTCGATGAAAACTGCGAGAAAATGGCTCCACTTTGCGAGAATCCCCTCTATCACATCATGACAACAAAGGTTTAAAGGAAATTGAGTCTTCTATGAGAGGAAAAATTTCAGAAGTGTGCTAAGACTTGCAATAAATGCGAGGAGTTCTTCAAACTGCCATATCCAATGAGATGCAAGGATATTCTTAAGACGTAAGTCATTGAAGATCTGTGTCAACACACAACAAAAGAATACTAAAAAAAACTCAATTTAGATGCTCTGATCGTATGTGTGACTCGGACTTTTATGACCTTGTCTACAAGAGACAAAAATGCGCTAAGACCTGTGGTTTTTGCTAAATGAAGTACTCGATCTCATTCCATTGTCTTTCAAACTATCAACAATAAATATTATTCAAAAGGCTAAATAACATAATATGATTTATCACCAGTTGAAGTAAACACAATTTTCCTTTCATCGGGTCTCCGTCGTGCCATCGTTTTTGTACTTGTTAACAAAACGAATTTCTTTCTGGCGGCCCACATACGACAGAAACTAGGGTACACGTTTCAAGAATAAGAAAAATCTATTACTTGAGAGACGAACAACGCTGTCATTCCAAAAGCAAGCACCGTCATAAGAAGAGTAAGCACTAAATGCAACAATTGCAATGATCAGGAAACATAATTTGTACTCGCAAAATCTTCAACTTAAAAACTCACAAAATCGAGCATAGTCATCGCTGCGAATTGGTAGATTGTAAACAAAGACACGCTCAACCAAAAGACGTTCGGCCATCAAGCTCACTAAGTACGCAATTGAAGCAAGCAGTCCAAGCAACGTGAAAACGGCAAATACATCCTAAAAAGTATAAAAAAAAAATCAACTCAAACACCAACCGTACAGTCGACTTTAGGTCTGGCCCACTTCTTAATGTTTTTGAAGACAGCTCCGCTGAGGGCATAATTCTAAACTGCAGAGTTAGAAAGGCAGTTTTGCGTAAAGTACCTCTTGGCAAATCTCACAACGTTGTCTGTGATGCGAGGTTGTGACCCATTTGGAGAGACATGCTTCATGAATATCTCCCATCTAAAAACTATTATTTTTCAACCAATAGTAAAAGTAAACCAACCGTGCCAGCACACCCACACGGGCGCACCATATCTCCTGTCTCCGATTGACAAATTCGACAAGCACGGTGCTCCAAAGAAGAGAGCGATGAAGGAGAAGCTGTAAAACGTAGCCATTTATCCGATTTTAATAACCAGAGCGTTTAAATCTACGCCTGCGATGAGTTTAATGCCAAAGATTCAAAAGCCTTACACAGTCGACCATCAAATAGACGGTTTGCAAGTGTTTGAGATACTTTGTAAGGCGCTTGAATTGGAGTTTCCACCTGAACTTTTATACAGTAAAAGAAAAAGAGCTAAAACCAACATTTTGATATGCAGAGACTTTGTGGAGGCTTGTCGGAGATGCTTGTGTACTCGCAGTATTATCGGTAGCCGTTGCTTGTTGTGTCGATGAAATAGAAATAACCGATCCATGAGGGCTATCTAAAATCGAAAGCATCGAAAGAAAAGTTCTTCGTATTTTGACAGAAAAACAGAACCAAAAACAAACTTACCAACTTTTTTTACTTTAGGTTCTGCCATTTTCAATCAAAGAATTGACGATGGCGTAAGCGGATCAAACTTAATAAGAAATGAATTATTTTTGTGCGAATTCGTGAAAGAAGAAGCTTTAAATGCAAAGTGCCTCAAATATGCAATTTATTACAAACGGCGCACCGGCAAAAAAACAAAGACTTTCCAAAGCACAACACTAGACAATCATATATGTGCAGTAAAATTGATAGTATCTGATCCGTAGATTTTTCGAAATTCGCGCGTTAGCAGCACATCTAAACATTCGCCTTCCCGGAGATAGGTCCATTTTTGATCGATCTAAGATGGCTGCTTTTTACATTTAACAAAAACAAATTACCAAGTCGTATCGCTTAGGTCCAGAAAACGGACTCGACAGCCAAATTTGCTTGTTCGGCGACTGCTTGTTGATTACATATGTACCTAAAGTTAACCGACTCTGGTTGTTAAAGATCAAAACACAAACCGACTTGCGAGCTGACCACGACGTTTAGGACGCCCATCGCATAACTTACATCATATTCTTTTGATACCTAAACGTGAAGCCAATTTTAACAAAGTCAACAAGTAGACTTACATTGCAAATCTCCGGAAATGTGTCAAAGTAGCTGTAGAGTTTCTCCAAAGATTCATTGCTGCGTGCTTCATACTCGCCTTGTGAAATAAGGCTATTTGATGTGCAAAGTGCTAAAAATGGAAAATAAAGTATATAGCATTTAGCCCAACAACCTCTTCCGACTTGGAGTAATGCTAAATGCCGTCTTTCGAAGGCTGCAAGTGTAGCTCTTCCTAGGTGCAACATCTGCAACATTAAATGAAAAAATCGTTTCCAAAATCTAGTGTTTCGACTCTTGCGCAAGAAAATCGGATCAATAGCCACAAGTGTGCATTTTAGAGTTTATTTATAAGTCAATTTTTTATTTCTACCAAATAAGTAATACAGGTACCAGATTTGATGCAACAATAAAGCTCTTCGAAGTAAAACAACAAAAACACAAAGCGGGAATTTAACTAGGGAAGTATAGAACGAACAAAGAAGCTTACTAAAGGAGAAAATGATATGCTTGTACGGATTTGCGGTAATCACCTGTGTAGGCGGATTGTCTCTTTTTTTATTTCGAATTGTATGGGTTTCAGCGGGCGAAAAGACGCGACTAGAGCTCATAAATCTGAGATTGAAAACAAACTGATAATCATATTATCACAACTTGATTAAAAATGTAAGAGTATTTTTGAGGCAAAATAACATCTAAAATTTGAGCACGAAATGACAGGAAAACTGCAGCAGATATGTGAAAAATATCCCTTAAACTTGAAATCACAGAAAAATTGAGTGAAAAACTAGGGAACTTGTAAAATTAAGTAAGTATTGGTTGCAAGACATTACATTGCACTTACGAGCATTAAATGATACTTGAAAGGTTACAGAATGAAAATTGACAAGCTATCTAGTTTTGTAAATAAGACCTCCCCATCTTAGCCGATATGTCCCTCTTCTCCATGTGATTTCGGGTTGCAGAAGGGCTCGAAGGTAGGTCGGAAAAGCGGAGGCCTCTCGAATCAACCAAATGTGAAGAAATTGAGAGAACGTGTATTTCAGAGGCCCATTCTAAACAATAATTTTGACTAATCCAATGATCATCGATTTACCTGTAGTGAAGATATCAATGCGTAATCCATTGCGAACCAAAAAAGTGTGTGGAGCGAAAAGTAAATCAACGAATGCATTCCGACCAAATACGACATCGATGAAGCAGCTAGTATTCCCGAAAGAATACAATCCTAAAAGATTATATATTTCGCTCCACGCACTTTTTGGTTCGCAAAAACAAAAACTTTCGAAAAAAGAGGCCTTCATAGTTTCTTAAATAAAATTAAACCTGGATTGGCTCAAGCAAAATCGTAAATGGAAGCATGGCAATTCGTAATTTCATCCATCTACAAATACGGGCTGTAAATCTAAAAAAAATTGTCATATTTCAAGGAAAACTCTCTAACTGATCAGCCGTGACTCCCGCCGAGTTTTGCATTGTAGGCAATGTTCCGATGCTAGTCTTCCATCCACTAAATTTAAAATTCAGAAAGTAACTACAATCAAATAAAAGTACCGTTTCACCAGTTCGACTCCAAAGAAATAATCCTCCGCCAAATATCGGCCAAATGCCTAAAAATATGTAAACTTTTGAAACAAAAATAAATAAATAAACCTGTAATCCACCGCATTCCTCGAGAGCAATTTTCCTTAATAAGCAGCTCATCCCAGTGCTGCAGACAAAACCCATACAATTTCCGGCCAAATACATGCGAGCATGGCTTGTTCCGAAATACACCTAGAAAATAAATACAGAATATTCCAAGAGATCTAAAAATAGACCTTCTCCAAAGCAGAGCCGAGTCCGGGTCTGTCAACACTAAATGGTGTCTGTGTCACCAGCCCAACACCTTCCGTCATCGCATTGGCCATATCTTGAAGAACTTCGGGTTGGACTCTGATACCTAAAAGGAATGCTAATGATACGGACATAAATTTGCAAACTTACTGCAATCGCTGATCAAAATGAAGGGATATTTTGCGGCTCGATATGCAGGCATCATGTTGTTGATTTTCGGATTGAGCCCAACATCTTCTCCACCTGAAACAAATTAGTAACTGCTCAAAACCGAATTCACTAACCACAAAATATTCGCGCATTCACAGCAGGGTATTTTCTCATCAATCGGTGAACCACTGATAAGGCCGGATCATCGTTATCATGTACACAAAAGAGTAGTTCAAACTGGACAGAAATAACTTTTTTTTTAAAAATTGAGCCTACCTCGTGATATCGAACGTTAAAGTAAGTTTCGAGATTACTTTCGAGATTGTCGTCTACTCCAACGAGAGGCTTCACAACCGAGACACCAGCTGTTCGTTTCTTGTAGGAGACAACTTTGTTCACTTTGTATTTCCTAAAACTTGCATTTCCTCGCAGAAAAACCCCCACTTACGAGTAAAAGAAAGCAATAAAATGTATAAGGTAGACGCCCGTAAGGAAAATCAAAAATCCAATCGAAAGAGGAACTCCTAAATTCAAAAATATTCGTTTGAATCAGAAAATTAGCTACCAATAAATTTGGGGATCCGAACCGTGGATGGGAGGGGAACCATCAGGGGATGAAGACGGGCCGTCAGAGCGAGTACACCTGAAGAAAAAAAATAAAATGATAAATTATGTAGTAGTATTTTTGATTGAAAAAACAAAATTCCAGACCGTCCCAAAGTGACTCTTCCGCTGATGTGGAGACGCAATCGCCTAGAAACAAAATACCATCGATAAAATCTCAACCAAAACAAACCACTTGGGGAGGCTGCAGTGCAGAGCGCTACAGTCGCCGAAGCGACAATCGAGTTCAACAACCCTCTGGCGGCCAGTTCAGCTCTTGAAATAGACATTTTAGAAATTAACGAATTTTAAACAATAACTTTGAAAATAAAGTAGAAAGTCCTAAACATGTATTTTGAAATGCAAAACAAAATATTATTTAATTACTGACTCATCAAATCAACTTAATTTATATCACGGTACATTTGAATTTAAAAAATAACCCAAGAAGAGAGTAGGAGACCGAGAGACATAAAAGTTTACGGAGAAAAGCTCAAACTACTATCTTATCAGGCGACATTCGGAATCCTTCAAAGCGACACACTTTCAGAAGAGGCGTGGGAACAAAGTCGCGAAAAAATAGGTATGACTAAATTTGTCCGATCATGTGTCATCGACGTCTTTCAAAATATTGGAAAAAGAAATCGTCATGTTTTTCTTGGGAAAAGCCAAAACTTTGTGAATCCGAGAAAAGATTTGACAAAAAGATAAACGGTGAAAGTTCTGGAAAAAGAACAGGGATATTTTCAGTCAGACACAGCTCCTTTGCTTTTTCTGTTTCTCTCAAAAATTGAACAATTTAAGCAAAAATGTGCAGCCGAGGCGCCGCTGTTGGTGTAGACTAGAGAAAGAAGCCTCCACATAGCAACGAATCGGGGTGCTAGTGCGAAAATCGTGGCATCGACTTTCTCGGGGACAATTAGCGTGTCAGAAAGTTACTCACCCACTCCCTTTAAAAGGCCAAAAAGTAGTAATACGCAAAAACGCACAATCGATACCCAACTTACCTAAAACAGTAAAAGTTATGATTCACAATTTTTTGGTAAAAGGGGAAGGTTTTAAGGGATGGAGTTGTGCTGTGTGCTCTCTTGTCTAAACAACACAAAAATGTGTGGTCAAATCATGTATAGGTGCCGCTATTGCAGGCATCTCTTGTCGGGTTATTTGCGTGCCCAGTCCGAGCCGGAAAGAAAAGAAAAAGAGGGGGAAAGGGAAAAGACACGCGGGAGCCAGAGACAGAGAAACTTTCGATGAAAAAGACAAAATTGGCATCCCTCCCGACACTGTATACAAATAGAAAAAATGGCACTTTGCACCAAGAGTGTTTTCCCCCTAATCATCAATAGATTCGCCTTTCTAGAAACTTGTAAACAAACCTAAGAAAAATACGACCCCGAATTCAGATATTAAAAAAAGCACGGACATTTTTCTGACCAATCAATACAAGACGGTAACTCTTTATCAAAGCTTGTATTCACAATTTAAGCACAGATGTTTAATCACAGTTTGGAATAAAAAAATAAATTATGACCATTATTAAGAAAGAGCACATTGAAAAGTACAAATTTACAATGAAGCTCATAAAATCGTTGTATGTACAAAAATGAAAATTTTAAACAAAAAAAAACTTAAATCTGAAGCTTTTCGGCAAGCTCGGGATATTTGTCTTTGGTGTTTCGAATGTGCTGAAGAGTGTGTTGCAAGTGTTGATCTATATCGTCAGCTTCTCTCGATGGTTCGAGTTGAATGGCAGCATCCCGGGTTCGAGAGATAAGCTCGGAGAGAACGTCAGGGCTTATCTTAAAAAAATGTCTTGATCAAAATTTACAAAAAAAACTAACCACAGTGCAGCCGTCTTCATAAAAGTAATAATACTGGTTGAGTAAATGAACGAACAATTGTTGTTGAACGAGCGGTTCCATGCACTGTGCCGCTACCTAAATAGTTATGAAATTTTTTGAGAAAAATAATATCATACTTTTGCTGATTTTTTGAGGATTTCAGTGACTTTATTGCCATTTCGAAGTTCACCCTCTGATTCAGCAACCTTTCCTTTCCAATAGAGACTAGCGGCCGAGCACAACGTTCGCACTTGATCAGCCTAAAAATCCAGCATTAAATGTTTATTTGTTAGTCGTTCTTCTTTCACATCGATGAGCTAAGTGTTTACAAGTTCACAATACAATAGTACGTTACCTTTTTAAACATTTTCGATCCGGCAAGAATTATTTGACCGACTAACGGTTCCCAGTTTTCAGAAGCAAGGCAATCAACCTAAATGTTACATTAGGTAAAAATAATACAAACAAAACCTTTAAAACCGAATTTGTAACAAGAGCTAACGCAGATAATCGTTCTCGTGAATCCGCTATCTCATCTTCCAATACAGATAAAGCCTAAATATAAGGTAGAAATAAATAAAAGCACAAAATTTACTTTTGAAATAAACTCGTAGACAACCATCGCATTTTCGGAAAACTTTATGCGATTTGCGACAATGGCACCTTCTAAGTAAAGATTGAGAGGTAACTGGGTCATTTCGCCAGTCGTAATCAAGGCTCCGATAGTCCCCATTGCACATACAAACATCTTTCTGACTTTCATGTCCCAGTTCTCCTAAAAAAGCTTTCCAGTATTGTATTTTAGCGTGAACTGAAAGCACTTCTTTGATATATTTAAGACAAATCTTACATCTCCATCGGATTGCTGATAATTCAAAGCGAGCTCATAAATTGAGAAAATAATTGGAGGAAGGGTTTTTCGAATTCGCCACTTCCCTCCAGCACCGAGGCGCTTTCTCAATCCGTTTAATAACTAAAGATATTTACTTTTAAAAGAAAAGAAAATCAAATCCAAACCAAAAATTGGACATCGCGATCTTCCGCTTTGATAAGATGTATCATACTGGCAATCAAATTCAGTTCATCAGCGAATTCTTCCGAATCATGAGCGTCTTCGGGTTGATCTAAATTGATCAAACCAGTTTGAAAAATCGATATCAAATATACCAGGTTGGTCTGATAGTAAACACTCTATTAGCGAACAAACAGCATCGATGTCATCGGTCGATTTCAAGCCGGTTTCATTGTCGATTAGATTCTACAAAGTTTAATACAAAAATATCTCATAAACTCACTTGTAAAATAAAAGCAGAAGCTGTGCAACGTCCACGATAGTTTAGGGGTAACATTGCACGTGGATAGTCGGTCAATAAGGCAACACGTAGGACATCTTTATATTCATCAACCGGAACTCGTAAAACACGTATAAGCTCCTTTCCGGCATGCGAATACATATCGATCCTAAATAATACATTTATTTTATAAACAAAATTTACGCTGTAGAAAAGTTCAATTGAACATACCCTTCAACTTGTTTATCCTTGAGATTGTTGGCAAGACTCAAAAACACAGTATTTGCATAGGCCAGCTTTTCTCCATAACATTTTACCGCCAAAGAAACAAGAGCCGTCTAAAACTTGTTGGCTAAGAAAAATAGTTAATACTTACATGTAATGAAACGATATCTTCGATGGGCATATCAGAACGGCTTTGAATGAGCCCTTCAGCTTGTGCCGAAAAGATTTCAAAAAGCTGAATTTCTTCGCGAATATTTGAACCAACAGCATTCGACACGTAGAGAGAAAGGCGATCGATCAGAGCAATTAGCACATTTTTAATATGCACTTCCTGAAAATTGTTGGTAAACAAAAAAAAAAATTAAAATCTCACTTGAGCTAACTCTTTGCAGGAAGCTAGAAACTCGTTTAAAGTGGCAAGATGAAACTCGTCAGCAAAGACTTGAATGACACATTCCATCAAATATTCTTGAGAGATCGGATCACGGCAGCTCACGACTTGTTCAAGAATACTAGGTAGAACTTCCTGTAATTGTCTCATGAATTTTCTTCAAAGTTTGAATTGTTTTATTGAGAACGTCTTATAAAACATTTTTACCTTTTCATATACTTCTTGTGTGAGATGTTCCAGTTGAGAAAGCCTTACAAGATTCGTACCGACGAGGATTCGAAGTTCCATTCTTTCCTAATCAAAAAATCAACAGCCTATTAGAAGTAGCAAACCCGTTCTCGTTTTTCCCGTTCTTTGCTCGGACCTTGGTGTTGTTGTCGTACCCACAATTTGTTCATTTCGGAGAAGTTGAGTTTAATGAAATCTATGGTGTCCCTCACGGTGCCAGAGCCAGGAATCGCCGGCTCGACACCTTCAGCTGCGTCGGGGAGCAAGCTTTTTGTGACTTGAAGCAAATAGTGTCGCAAGAAAAGCCCCCTAAATTATAAATTAAAATTTTACATCATAAACATCCCCACAAACCTCAATGGATGCTGAACGCCACGACTCATTTCAACCAAGTCGTTCAGCAGCTCGGCTCTCATTTGTGGCATAAGCTTCATGTAAACAACGCCGACGGTAATCATCAAATACATTCGAGGGATGATTGTTCCCGCATACTGGACGTGTTCGTACAATTCAGCGATTGATTCCTCCTTTTTTTCCTTTTCAAGCTCATCAAGCAAAAATGATTCGAGATGATTCAACTCATTGACAACATCGATGTCTAAAAATGTGATAAATTTGCTTTAAAAAATGAACGTACAAAGCCGATAATAGTATTTCGGTGTCAAAAGACCGGTGCGAAGCTCGGCGAGCATAATCGAGGCATGCTTGAGAGCGTCCATTCTTTTTGATTTATCCAGACTTCTAAAAAATAATTATAAAAACGATATACAGAAGAATTAAAAGGCTAATAAAGCATTGAGACATCATAAAATCACCTCTTCATCTCAAAGGCTTCGGCTTTCACGGTCTTGACGGCCGTTTCGAGAAATTTCTCTTGCTCAACGCTGTTTGTATCGTCTATCCTCATCGCCTAAACAGAGAAAAATAATAAAATGTAAGAAAATTTAAAGAAATTTGAAAAAGCCTTCGATTAGTAAGCGATTAGGCTCAAACATTGTGAAGTTTATAAAACAAAATTTATTCAGCGGTTTTACGGGTACGGTAGGATAGGTGTGGTATAGCGCAAAAGGCGGGGCATCGAGTGTATCAAATGACAAGTAGCAGAGTGTTTGGATTGATTACCCAGCATTTTTTCGATGCATTACTATTGATAAAACTTGTTTAGATATCATGTTGAAGCCTTATTTTAAACTTGTAAAAACTTAAAGTTATAAAAGAGTGGGCGTGTGTCTACAAAAGACGAGTTAATTTCAAATAGGAAACGATTTTGCTGGTTTTTTAAAACTGCTTTTTTGTCAAGTTTTTTCTCTATTTTGCACTATCGGCCTTGATGGGCAATTTAACCGTGTTGTTCTTGCTTCTTTCAGGGTCATACAGTGCGTTTCACATCAATACCTCCATCCCTAAAAATCTGAATTTCGAGCAAATGAAAAACTTGTCGAATTATATTTGTTTCATTTGTTTTACAGTTACTAATTTGTTTAGAAATGCTTTTAAATAGGCAAAAGTATGAAAAATGCTCGTTTCGCGTTAATACGTTCATTTGAAAAAAGTTGGGGAACTGAGGCACTCGGAATCATGCTGAATATAAATTTCTAGTAAAGCAATGACCTGATTTCAAATCCAAAAACGGTTTTTCTCTAGCTTTTTTGGTTTTCTAGATCTGAGTTATTAAGGAAAACTCTCAACTTTTGCAAGAAAGACTTTTTTAGAAGTGCTATTTTCAAAAACTAGATCAAATTTGAGTAAGACTTTCTTTAGGGGACTTTCTTTAGTCTATTTGACCCTTTAAAGGGTCAAATAGACTATTCTAACTTGGAGTCAGGATTTTATATGGGAAAAAAACCTAAAACCTAGAATTTTGCTTAATTGTCACGGCTTGATCCCCAAAACTGTCATCTAAATGTTTCTTAAGGTGTTTACTACCTGTGTATTGAAAATTTTTCTTCCTCGCTTTACTTCATGTCTTGAATAAAGTATAGATTTACTCAAAATTCAGATTTTTAGGGTTGCACGGGGGATTTTTTAGGGATTTGATGTGAGACGCACTGTATAATACTGTTATAACACTTAAAATATATCTTTAAACTTTTGAAACCTTTGATTACCTAGATAGGTGCATATGCATGAGTAAGAACGCCTTTTCATTTCCAAAAGCAACAAAATCTATCAATTCCAATCATTTAACCGCGTGTTGATGGCTTACTTTTTTTTTGCGTGTGTTAAAGAAACCATTGAAATAGAGCGGGAACAAGAAAATTGAAGAGAAATAGACAAAGAGAGCTGCGTCAGACATACAGAAATCCCATCAGCTGGTCCGTCCGCTAATTTGCTACACATTTTTTGTAGTTTCCGTTTTTTTTTGCTGCATCTTTTGATACAAATCTTTAAATTTTGACAAGTCTACAAATATAACCTGATCAATCTCCTTCTAAGTGCTTGTGATAGAGCCAGTAAGCAATCACATAAAGTTATCATCATTATTTCTTGTTGATTTCCGTACAAGTCGATCTAGAAAACCAGTCGCCAAAATTCCGTGGGTAACAACAACCATGGGCAATTGTCTCCCCGTCTTCGGGGGACGATCAAGAAGCGATGAAGTAAGTAAAGCAATATTGAATCAGATAAATCTTTTGCAAGCATGAAATGATCGATTTGAATTCGAAGTTAAACAATCGATAAATTTCCGTCTAGATCCCAATCGAGAGACGCTCATCGGGCTCATCGCAACACGGTTTTGACAATCCAGTCGCCCTTCCACATAGTGTAAGTGATCAAGTATGTAATACGTCAATAAGTACGTCAATAAGAGAGAACTCTTAATAACAAGTCAATTTAGCTAATATTCAGCAGTAGTAACAAGTTCAACAACAAATTGAAACGCAAAGAACAACTTTCAGAGCGCCTACGTAAACCAGCTTTACAACGAGAACATGCTCCGATCACAGCGAGTGGCTGAGGAGCAAGCTAAAGGTATTCAGATGTTTACAATTGAGCTGTTCCAACGGGGCCCTAGGAACTGCAAGTCAGGCCAGACTAGCGCCAGACAGACATGTCCATACCTGGCTTCTAACTGTATCTTGCTTGGAAATATAGCTCTGAAACAACTCCGCTTACAATGTGTTTTATAGGGGCCGACACTGCCCGTCGTCGTGTACAAGGACTTCTCGAACAAATCCCAGCCGATATGTTCACCCAGGATATGAAAGATGCCGAGTAGGTGAAGATTAGAGTTTAAAGATAATCCAATTACAGATGTGCCATTTGTATGGTGGATTTCGAGCCGGGCGATTGTATTCGATATCTACCATGTAATTGATTATTGTCAAATTCCAATTCAGTCATCTTTCAGGCATGCACTGCTTTCATCAACAATGCGTCGATGATTGGCTTTTGAGGTAAAATGGATTTATATGTCTACTGTTTACTTCTAGAGACTTTGGGTCTGGATTCTGAAGCCTCAGACCCTGGCTTTTATGAGCCAAGCGTGCAGTAGAGCCAACACAAGTCAGGCAAGAATCTACAGGGTGTTCAATATTTATGACCAATAGATCACTAAGTTTAAATCTCGTTTTGTACAAATCATGTTAAAAAAAGAAACAAACATATTAAACACATATACTTTAACAAATTTAAGTCACTTTTTTCAAAACTATTGCCTTTCTTGTTGATGTTTGTCTAGAAACACCCGTGGAAAGCGGAATTCGCAAATTTATGTCAAATTTTCTTGAAAGAGTCAAAAATGAAATATGATTCCAACATTTTTAATGTCTTATACATTTAAAAACTGTTAAATAATGAAGAATTTCTTATTATTAAACAAGAACAACCAAATAAAACTAGAACATAAAACTAGAACAACAAGAACAACAACAATAACAACTAGAACAACAAGAACAACAACAAGAACATCTAGAACAACTAGAACAACAACAACAAGAACAACTAGAACAACTAGAACAACAAGAACAAGAACAACTAGAACAACTAGAACAACAACAACAAGAACAACTAGAACAACTAGAACAACAAGAACAAGAACAACTAGAACAACTAGAACAACAACAACAAGAACAACTAGAACAACAAGAACAACAACAAGAACAACAAGACCAACAACAAGAACAACAAGAACAACAACTAGAACAACAAGAACAAGAACAAGAACAACTAGAAGAACAAGAACAAGAACAACAAGAACAACTAGAACAACTAGAACAACAGATCTGACTAAAAATAACTAGAATAACTAGGTTCGGGTGTGATTTCGTGATCGAGTTCCAATGAATCGATTTTTCGCATAATAAATTGAGAAAACAGTGAGCATTTCATGTTTTTCCCAACCCTAATTTAGTGCTTTCTTAATGATTTTCTAATAAACCGATTTTAGAAGCGCTAAATAACCTTTAAACTCAAAAGTTCCCATAAATATTGAAAACTCTGTAGAATTCAGGGGAAGATCTGGCTCAAAAATTGCTCTCAGAACAAAATTTCAAGCAAGTCTGCATAAAGGTAGGCTAGGCCAAGATCTGGCTTGGCCCAAAAACTTGCTTCTGGAACAATCTTGATACTGTTCTACTGGCGATTTCCAGATCCTTCACCTGTCCATCCTGTCTTGCGCCAGTCGACTCAACTCTGCTTTCTTCCCTCACCGCTCACACCTCTCTCAGCCTCTCCGATTTGGCTTCATCTCCAGCCACTGTCACTCTCAATGCAATCCCCGTCAATACAACTAAAGTTAACGGCTTTTCGCATTAATACTTAATTCTAGTGAGAGATTGTTCAGCTGTTTGAGAATTGAGAATTTCGATGCACCGTGCGTTTACCAATCCCCAAAGTTTCTTAAGTCATTTTTTTTCAGTCTATCTGCTAAATAAGTGTTCAAAAGTCACTATTGAAGTTATTCTCTCATACAATACTCAGCGCTTTTTTTTCTTTTCATTGCCAGAATAGGTTTCTTCCATTCAGCTCTCAAAATCTAGAGCTTTTTCGATAAAAAATCTCAAATTTTCTATAATTTTCGTTAATTTTCTTTAATTTTCTAAGTTTTAGTGTACATATGCGAAAAATTTTGTTAAAAGCAACGATTTTCCTAATTTTGCCAGTTTTCTGCCAGTTTTCTTAGTCATTCTATGGAAATCGCTACTCTATACTCTTCTTACTCTTCTTATTCAACATCTATACTCTTCTTACTCTTCTTATTCAATATCTATATCTACTGTATACAATTATCTCGTTATATCTATTCGTACTTATATTTTCTTTGTTTATCTATGTACCAGCTTTGTTTTAGTTATGCTTTCTCACAGCTCTCTCTCATCAAATCTTCTAGTTCGCTTTCCAATCCGGGTCTACTCTCTTCAAAACTAAATCCCCCCGAGTTCAGTGTATGAGTTTTCGTTTTTCTTGTTGCTTTCTTTTCGAAATTTTTCTCTTGGTGTTATTCTTTAAAATAAACGTCATTCAAAGGTGTCCAATGACGCAAAATCTAAAGTTAATCGCACAAGTTATGGAGTTTGACAAAGAAATTTTTTTTTTGATCTGTCTTCGCACTCAGGCGTTCCTATTTGCGCAGATCACAACCTGCTTCCACATTTCTCTACCCCTTGCTATTGTCATCCAGTGTTTCCTAGCTTGATTGTTCCTGGTTCGAAGTCTTCGATTTGCTTGTGCTAGTGATGGTGGTTGCACTCTAGCCATCATTTCTCTGATCATCTCTGCCACTCTTGTGCTCCATCTCGTTGCTGGTCTTCCGATGGGCCTCTTCTGGTCTCGTGGTAGCCACTCTATGATCCGTATCGTCCATCTGTCGTCTGTTCTTCTGGCTACGTGACCGGCCCATCTGAATCTTTTTCTCTCAATCACTTCCACTGGATCTCTGAGTTCCGAGAGCTGGCGCATATCCATACTTCTTACGTCTTGGTCGAGCTGCGTCTTCCTATTGTACCCGAGGAGGTTCCTTTCAAGGGCTCGATGCGTCGTTCTCAGGGCTCGTTCGGTGGTCTGTGTCGTGGCTCAGGTCTCTGTCCCGTAGCAGAGGATGGTGTTGTCGAAGAGGTGTGCCTGAGTTCTCTGGTGATTCTTGAGTATCTTTGTGACTTCTTTGATGCTTCCTAGTGCTATCCAGGCCGCTCGTCTTCTTCTGGCGACGTCTGGTCTTAGGTCTCCCTCCATGTTGATGCTTCTTCCGAGGTATGTGTAGGAGGTGACTTCTTCTAGTGGTTGACCTTCCAGTTTGATCTCTCCAGGTGAGCACCATGCGTTCCTCATGCTCTGAGTCTGACAAAAATTGGCTTGGCTTGAATTCATCGATTTTAATCTTAATCAATCACCGACAAAGAAATTTCACAGAGTTTCTTCAAGTGTACGGTAGTTCACAGCGCTGATTTCCCCCTCCCACTAATCATGGAAAATTATTATTCACGTTTTGTCTGTTGTCTGTGCCTGTTACTGTAGCTTTTATATGTAAATTTGTTAAATGTTAATTTAACGATTTTGCGAGAAAACCGTTTCCCAAAAAAGGTGGATAATTTGGAAAGGAAAGCTACCAGAATCTTTTCTTTTATTTAATTTTGATTCTATTTCTATTTCTATTTCTAATTCTAGATTAGCAAAGATAAAACTTTTCAGATAAAATCCAGATAAAATTTTGACAAATCCCCAAACGAGCTGCAAATTCCCCAAATGTTTACCGGGGAGATTTCCAAGGAGAAAAGAGAAAGAAATGATTCTCAAGTCCATGCTCAAGTCATGGACACTTAGATTTCGCATAGACATAGAAACAGAAAACAAGTAGATAGAAGCATTTATCCGAAGAGATCACAGAGAAATTCTTCACATAGCGTGGGTGCCAACGATCTTTTCCCTGTCTTTGAGAAATCCTTTCCCTTGGCTGTTACACCATCGAATGAGCATGTGAAATGGGGACTCTAGACAAGCAAAGACACTAATAGATGAGGAGAATTGAGAGGAAAGCTTTTGGGAGAAAGATTTCCATCTTTTTAGCGTCGAAATTTGAGGCTGGCCAGGTGACTCAAACCTAGTTAGATCTACATTGAGTCATTTGGTTAAAAAGTTGGTGAAAGGTGGAACATTTGGTAAAAGATTGGTGAAAGGTGGAACTTAAGACGGAAAACATCAAATTGTAAGACTTTAAGGTACTGCTAATGAGTCTTACGAATTGTAAGACTCATTAGCATATGCTTCGCGATCAACAATGCTAAAGCTAGAGTCTGATACGAGTACCTGATTGTAAGCTACCTGGACTTTTGCCCAGGGTTTTATTCAATCCATTCCTTTTATTGGATGACATTTCTAGGGCCAAGATTAGGGAAATATTAGTTCATTACCACTGCGCCTTGCTCCAGACATATCAAGAGTCTAAACTTTTTTTCAACTTTTGAAAGATACCATAATCATGCCTTTAGTTCACCAAGTTTATCCATTTAGATATCTTACGGTAACCTCTATAAATTAAAAATAGAATCAAGGCCACCGTCTAATGGAAGAATTTTAAAGCGGTCAGCTTTACGGAAATTCAGCTTTCATTGGCTCAACTTTGTGAATTCCAGGCAAAAGTTATTTTGTAACTATTTGACCCATAGGACTCAAATTTTGAAATGTGTACGTTTTTTGAGCGATAAAAATGTATCTCAAAGAAGAAATGTTTCTCTTTTGTGAAAAAAGATCAGAAAGAGAGAAGAGATTGGATTGAAACATGTGTTCATCACATCGCAGAGAGAAGAAAGAGGGGAGATTGAAGGATTCGATCGAAGAGATCCCCCCTCGCATTTTGGCCCAAAGGCTAGTCCCCCTTTCGAACGGTCAGCAACCAGCGAACGAACACGTAAGTTTTTTTGTCTGTACTTGATTTCTTGTCTTCTTGTTTTCATGTCTCATTGTTCAGCTCATTCTTACATGGACAATCCTTTTGGGGTCATTGATCTAATGGTCATTGATCATTGACCTAATGAACTGAGGCTAGTGTTTTAACTGGTCATTTCTGATTAAAGCTCTCTTAATGAACAAGTAGCCTGATAAATTTCGGGTGACAAAAAGCGATCAGCTTTATAGACAGTCAGCTTTATAGACAGTCAGCTTTATAGACAGTCAGCTTTATAGACAGTCAGCTTTATAGACAGTCAGCTTTATAGACAGTCAGCTTTATAGACAGTCAGCTTTATAGACAGTCAGCTTTATAGACAGTCAGCTTTATAGACAGTCAGCTTTATAGACAGTCAACTTTCGTTAGCTCAACTTTATGAATTCCAAACTTATTCATGAATTCATAAGTTCACAATTCATAAATTCATTTTCTAAACCATTTTTCTAATCGACAAGTATAAAATTGTCGATTATCGTAAGTAAAATTGTGCACTGCGGATCACTTTTTATCTATTGCATTATTATTCCTTGTTCTCACCGTTGTAATTAACTTATTTTCAAGTGTTACCGTTGTAAACGGCTCACTGAGAGAGAGAGAGCCGTTCCTTTCACGATTCTTTTCCTCACCTCTGATGAGGGATTTTCCCCCACTCAAAATCTCCTCTCTTTCTTTTCCTGTAAATGTTTGCAAACAACTCATCCCACAAAACTCATTCACTCATTTTCAAATCCAAATTTCAAATTCCCACTACATGTTACTTTAAAAACATTTTTTAAATGTTATTTTCTTGACTTCATTGACTTCTTGACTTCTTTACTTCTTGACTGACGATCATTTGATTTGTTCTTGTTCTTGTTATCTTCTTGACTTCATTGACTTCTTGACTTCTTTACTTCTTGACTGACGATCATTTGATTGTTCTTGTTCTTGTTATCTCCTTGACTTACTGACTTCTGACTCTTACTTCTTGACTGACGATCTTTGATTGTTCTTGTTCTGCTATCTTCTTGACTCTGACTTCTGACTTTACTTTGACTACGACTCTTGATTGTTCTTTGTTCTGTTATCTTCTTTGACTTCATTATCTCTTTGACTTCTTTTTTTACTTTGGACTTAATATCATTTGATTTGTTCTTGTTCTTGTTATCTTCTTGACTTCATTGACTTCTGACTTCTTTACTTCTTGACTGACGATCATTTGATTTGTTCTTGTTCTTGTTATCTTCTTGACTTCATTGACTTCATTGACTTCATTGACTTCTTGACTGACGATCATTTGATTTTTGGTTTTAATTATTTTTAATAATCTTTTAGTATTCTATATTTTTATTCAAAATCTTCACTAATGAAGGAGATTGTCATTTGGGCTTTTGAGAGCTTTATCTTGTACCTATCAATGACGTACCCCTTCCACAGCTGCACAAGACTGTGTGACTGGAGAGAATTTCGTTCTCAACAAACCGTATACCCGTTTTCTGAGGAATGATTCAAAATCTCCACTAATTAAGGAGATTGTAATAAACAATTTTGCATTTCAAATTCAAAATCTCCACTAATTTTGTGATAAAAACGAGTCCAATCATGGGATCCATGGCCGTTTTTTCGAGTGCACAAATACACTTTTTTTGATGAGTGAGATGATGATGAAGACTGGATTTATGAAGATCGGGCAGAAAATAGAAAAAAAAAAGAGGATTGCTCTCATAATTTGATCTATCGATCTATCAATCTATTAGAAGTTAGCTTTGCAAAGCAATAGCAAATATCTCCAAGATATTTTTGGATTTTTTGTCTCTGTACTCTGATCTTTTCTCGCTTTCACTTAGCCGATCGTTGTTTATTGATTGAATTCGTTAAACATTTAGAACAAAATAGAAAATAGGCTTTAATTTGCATTATCAATCCGTTTATGGACTGGTTTTTCTTCGACAAACTGTAAAGAAGAGCAAAAGCTTTACGGTAGTATGTGTCAACTCTCGATTTAGCAACTTTCGATCCAACGATTTTGAAATTCTAAAACATGCTCTTGGTTTCTGCGTAGCTGCCCAGCCAGCCATTTCAGGGCAAAGGTGCTAGCTATTCAGGGCAGCTACGCTAGCCATTCAGGCAGCTACACTTAGTCATTCAGAGCAGCTACGCTAGTCATTCAGTAGCTACACTGTCATTCAGAGCAGCTACGCAAGCAAATAAGGGACACTTTTTAGAAGCGTTAAACTTGAAATTTTGATCCCCAAGCAAAGCTTTGAAGAATATGGAATAGAGAGAAACAAAAAAATAATGTTTCCAAATCGTAAACCCGAATGGCCTATAAGCCCTTTCTTTTCTATAAGAGATGGTCAAAGAGGATCATCTATTCGATGCTCACTTTTACCCTCCTTTTCTTTATTCCTCCCTTTTAGACCGAACATTGCCAATTCTTTCTCGTTCTTCCTTCAGAGTAGCCTATTCTCTTTTCCTTTTTCCAATCGGTCAGTTGGTCCTCCCTTCGATTCTTCCAAATATATCTCCACTGTGATCTCTTGCATTTTTTTTTGCTAAAGCTAATCTCCAAAAGATTGCCTAGAGTCACTCTTTTTGATTGGATAACACTCAAAAAGTGTTCGCTCGATCCATTATATTGAGAGAAGGGTTTTGAGAGATCATTACAGCTACTCGGGTGGTCAACGAGTACTTGGGGAGCGTTTTTATGGATACTAATAATACTTTTGTACTTTTCACTAACGATATATTCCTATTAGTTGCGTGAAATTTGGATCTTTTTATTTTCTTTTGCACTTATCCAATTATGGGACAAGTTTAATATGTTGATTGGGTTCACTTAGCGATTAGTGTACCGTAGTTGTGAGTAGTAAATAAGAACTAATTGTTAAGAGTATACTGTAGCATGACAAGTCTTTACAGTCTTTAAACAACAAAAAAACAATGTTTAATTGAAGAATTAGCATATTACGTCATACTGTATTAAGGTGATAGACTCAGATCGAATCATGACAAACATTATCATAACCCTTATACCGTATTTTCTCTAATAGTAGTGCACCCTGAGCGTCGCCTAAATTGTCCGAAATCTCTCGAGAACCACTTATCAGAACCTATCGATGTGGGATCGGAAAATGTAGCTGACGATGAGATCTAGTGGGGGGTTAGAGTGTTGAGTTTCTGTGAAAACTTAGAAACCGTAAAATAGTCGCCAACTCGGCTCGCCGAGGTGCACTACTATGAGAGAGAATCCGGTATGCTACAAGACTCGGTACAAAACTAAAGAAAGTTTTACGTACAGTGCCCAACGTCTAGACGCAAGTACGGCATCCCACGACAAGTACCGTAATACCGGCTGCCGTATTCTCTCAAATAGCGTATTCTCTCAAATACCGTATTCTCTCAA